CCTTTATTTTGCAGTGAGGAATGGGATTATCTGCTAAGCCAGTCGGGAAAAACGTCAACAGAAGAACAGCAGACCATAAACAACATAGTAGCAATAAATACCGCCGACGAAAATCCTTCAGAATCTCAAGAAATGTTCCTAGACCAGATAGCGTGCGCCTCTCAAAGACTATTCAAAGATATGGAAATACCGACTGAAACCGTCAACGCCCACCGAATTTACGACCTCGAGGTCATAGAGCTAAACAGCGACGTCAGTTTCATCATGATCTGCCCGCCAGCTGAGCAAGCCTGCTCCGTCCCAGGACAAAAGGAAATACTTCTTCAAAAAGGCGATTTACTTAGTCTGCCTATCCAAGCGTTTGAAATGATACACCTTCAAACTTACCACATGAGCATGCTCAACAAGTACTCCAAGCTTAGTTGTGTTCTAGAATTGGATGTAGCCTTAGCGGCTCACTCGCACCGGGAAGCTTTCTCTTGCACTGAGCTCCAAACCGCAAAAGAAAGATTAACAAAACTGGAAGACCTACAAAATAACCTCAACATCTTGTGGAAAGGCGAACGCTGGCTCATGGACTTGATTTGCTTCGCCAGAGATAAGGATAAGGCCGGAACCAGTTCGGGGATATTAATGAAACATATACTCGATAGTAACCAGTTGCAAATCTCCATCGACAGTCCAGAAGCGCAAACGGTCGAAAGGGACAGCCGTCTTAAAGTCGATTTACTCCAAATACCATCTAGAGATGGTAAAATTACAAAAACTTCACCGGGCAGAGGTTCCTGGCCCGGTCCAGCTGGTAACGGAAACCACACTCACTTGCATCCAGAGTTCAGCAAATCTGAGCAACAGCTAAGCCTGTCTCCGCGACAAACATCCGTATCTACCCTCAATTTAAGCAGCTCACAGTTTCTAAACGCCGACTCGAAGTACTCGAGAAAAGGCAGCGGGGATTCCCAGTTCACTCAATCGAGCCTAATGAGTAACAACTACTTAAGTAGCAATTCCCAATTTGATATCAAATCGTCAGGTTCACATAACAGTATTGGAAGCAATCGCCTCCCGCCCTCGAAGAGCGAAGATACGTTAGTATTGCAAGACGAGAACGTTGAAACGAAACCAAGACCTCACAGTATAAATGCCGCAAGCGTATCAACGACGTCCAGCCCCTTGATGGCAGTCAAAGGTTTCTACCCTGGCAGCATGATCAGTGTTAGATCTGTGAAGGCCAACGTTTCGGAGTCCGCTCAGAGTCTGTCCAGCGATTCGGAGAGCCAGAGTTGTCCAATATCTGTGGTTCCCCAAAAATTCCGTCCGTCACCGAATCACCGAGCGCCGTGCAATGTCATCGCTTCGAAAAGTATGACCAATGTGAAATCTAACGTGGACTTCACGGACACTGGACAGGAGTTGTTCCAGAAACCCAACTTGTGTATTAAACGTCAACCGTTGTTAGAGACGCAGGAAGATGTGGAATGCAACAATAAGGTTCCTAAGACTGAAGAAATAAACGAGGAGGACATCAAGCCTCCTGTGGAACAGCGTACACCTGACCAGCCTGGAATACTGCAGGTATAATATTATGTAACATTTTGTCTTTTGTTAAAATATTCAAGTTTTACAGCGTCGGTATCTTGTTTTTATAAGTGCTAAGCTATAAGCTTTGCTAGGATTGCGAGTGGGATTAATTTTGTAATATTTTCTTGGAATATTTTTGTATCTCAGATATATTTCAGTTTGTTTATTTTTTATATTATAGCCTGAAGATGAATTTTAATTTTATACACTGTGAATTACGTAAATGAAATATTTACAACCTGCTGGTTGAGGAATGGCAACCGACTGTGTTTATGGGCTGAGCAAGGGCTCGCCAAAAGATGGCAGGTTGCGGGACCCCAGCATGATTAGTTGATGACTATGAGCTCCTGGAACAGCTGATATTGAGAAGTGGACTTAAAATAACTGACAACGGCAATTATTGTTACAGCTTATCGAAAGTCTACTGCTGAACATAGGTCTCCCCCAATAGATTGTTTCATAGGCTATATATAAGGCAAATATCCCCCATATTTGCCATAGCTGTCACGCTTGGCAAGCTGACTGACATCCGAAGTTTTTATTTTTTAGTTGCTATCAGGAAGATGTTCCTGCCTGTCCTGTATCAGTTTCCCACTGTCGCTTCTTACAACACTCACGGGATGATATGAGAGTAGTGGACATTCTTAAACCACCACTACACTATGATACTATGACTACAGCAATATGGCTACATGTTATGTAATATTCAAGTAAAATAATATACATACAACAAATTGATGCGTCCAATACAACTAACATTATTACAGGTGTTCGCTGCCTACGAGACTGGCCTAGCCGCGGGCACGTCCTTAAAACTTCACGTAACTCCGCGCACGTCGGCCCGCGAGGTCATCGACCTAGTTGTCAAACAACTCAACATGGCCGCCGTGTTAAAGGGCAAAGCGGGTCCTGTTTACGGTCCTGAGCGACTTCAAGATTTCTGTTTAGTCGCCGTCATTGGGGCAAGGGAACGTTGCCTCAGAGATGACTTCAGACCCCTGCAGTTACAAAACCCTTGGAGAAAAGGCAGATTGTACGTTAGACTTAAACACGACGTCTTAGCCGCCTTACAGCATTCCGCCAAACAGCCAGCGTTTATTTAAACGTCCAAAACGCTAGTGTATGATAGTATTTCTCTGTGTATAGATATTTTAATATTATTTTTTAATTTAGATAATGCACTACTTTTTATCGAAATATAGTAACAGGAGACGCTGGACGAAAATAGTTTTATTTATTGTGCCAATTTCTTATTTGTTGATGCTTTAAATAGTTAAGTTAAAAGTTGTGAGCAATTTTAGGAGATGTTTGTTACAATGAATGGTGCTTTCACTTTAAAATACAATACTGCTTATCCAAACATATTGCTACGACATCGATAAATAGACTCTTGGCACTAGATTTTCGATTTAGACAGTTTGCAAAAATAGTTTTAAAGTAGATCATTTACTTATCTAAAAAAGTCTTAAACAACAAGTAGTTTATACTAGATGAGATAAACAAAGTTATAACTAAAGTTAAACGTAATCAAATTAAATCGGAATAAATCAAGTCACAGTTACATTTATGATATTAGTTTAAAAAAAATAAATGACATGAAAATGCCTGATTTATTTGAAAATAATATCATCCTAACCATATCTCTGAGGAACACAGGGTTCTAATTTCAGAACTATATAAATTATTACCAGATATGATTGAAAAGTAAATAATGAAACTTAGTTATATTTTCTTACCTTAAACATTTTCCTTCGACGCTCAGAGCACGTAAAATTTAAAATATTAAGGTATGAAAGTTAGATGTTGTTGTATAAAGTACTTTAACATAAATAAATTATCAAAATAATACATCATATGTCGAGAAAAACTAAATGGTAAATAATTTTGGCTCAAGTAACGGGAATGTATTGTTAATTAATGCTCTTGAAATTTAAAATTATTTATAAAATATTTTTTCATTTGATATTAGATATCAAACAAAGCATTATTTTAACAATAATATTGTTACCCCGCATATTATTTTATAATTAAATTATTAAGGTTTTATTGGTTCAAATAGCATCATTTTAGCAAAACAAATATTTATAAGCGATACATATGAATTATTGGACTTATAATAATATATTATTGTTATAAATACTCCATTACAATAGATCCACTAATGGATGCAGTCAACACCATTTTTATTGTATAATATAGTTCTAGTAACCTTAAGAAGTAGTAACATGTTATGTATTGTACAAAAGACTATGATTTGATTTATTTTAAAGAATTTATAAAAATATTGAAGATTTACCTATGATTCGAGCCATACTTAGCGAAGATTGCTATTATTGTAACGAAGCCTAATTACATGTCTTATGATGATTAAAAGATGAAATTAGTATATACTAAATTAGGTTTATTTTTTAATATTATGCATTCGCCCTTATTTGCGGTGTTGTGTATTAGAAATTAGACAGAGTGGGAGTACGAAGTGATGCACAAATATAAATAAATGTATTTCAATTCATATGACGTTTAATTATCTACTATTCGTTTATTTTACCTCAGGAAGATATGATGTGATTACACCACCGCAGAGGCCACAGGGGTGTATAATCATGGTGTATCTTCCATGAATAGAATAGAATATTTTTTATTCAGTATAGATTACAAGTAAATCTTCACACGTTAATTGCCGCCCAAAAATGTGCGATTTCCGTTGGTGGGGGGCACCATTTGGGCGACACTAAAATTCTCCGTTCAGGCCATGGGGGATACCATGTGACCGCGATCTCGTGTTCACTTTAAACCCTTCTGGCAGGCCAACGGACATGTTAACTTAGTTTCTTTCAATACAATGGGACCCGCGCGGCTCTGTAGGCGAATGGTTTCTACTTGGTTTTCGACTAACGGCAAAACTTAGAATTTTTTAAAGGATTTTGTTTGGCATAACTTTTATTCCCATATACAGTGATTCGTAAGGAAATTCGTAGATAAATGTCGGACACTACATATAAATTTGTATGAAGTGTCCGACAGCAAATACAAGTGTGAAACAAAAAAAAAGAAGTTTCATAAAGCTTTTATTATTCAACGAGACAGGACATTTTTTTGGACGCAGCCACAGCAGTCGCTTGTTCAGTTGCCAGTAAATAAAAAAACTTAAATATATCTTTGTAAACAATACTTATAAATTAAATCACAAAATTAAAGAGATCGCCGTGTTCTAGGAACTGAAAAAGAAGATTAGTCGATCTATCGAGATCATATTATCATACTATAAATAATTAAAAAACAACACACTTATCCCTTGTGAATCTTATGAAAACAGTCAAAACAAAGAAATGGTTTTTCTGGACACGTTGCACAAAATGTGGTTACATTTACTTTTCTGGTTTTATTTTTCGCCTGTTTTCGTCCCATGGCTTTTACATTTATCTGTAACAATTAGCGCATGATCGGCGGCACTTTTTACTTGGTCCATCTTTTTTTTCCAATCTATTATTTAGCCTTTTTGGTTTCGAGTCTTTAACAGTTTTTTGTTTCTCCCCTATTAGGCCAAGTAGTATTTGCTTCCTGAATTCTACAATTTGCATCCGTCTTCCTGTCATTTGATAAAGCACTAAAGCATTGACTAACGCAGTGTTTAACAGTAAGTTTATGGCAAGCTTCTTGTACAATTTTACACTTTTTCGTAATGGTGTGCAGTACGCCGTCATTTGATCGGATGAATCAACCGCTCCTTTTGCCTTGTTATAGTCGAGGACTATTTGTGGCTTGAAAGACACTTTGCGCGCATTTGTTGACAATACCCTTCTAAATTTATTAGTATGCTTAGTTGAAAGAACATACACATCTCTCTTGTCTTTCCATTTCAAAAATGTAATCCCATCGGCACTTTCCATGGCAATGTGCTCTCCGCGCTTTAGTTTCGCAGTAATAACTTTTCTAGGTAGATGTTTCCGATTCTTTCGTATAGTACCAACAAGATGCGTTTCTTTTTTCAAAAGTTTTCACGCTTAATCAACACTTGCGTACCAGTTATCGGTATACAAGGTGTGGCCTTTGTCGAACAGATCACTGCACAAAGACATAACAACGTTTGCTGGTGTAGTGTTGGTCTTGTCGTTTTCCTTTCCCGCATAAATGCTTTGTTTGTACGTATATCCAGGTAATGTGCAAAGTTTAAATTTTTTAATACCATATTTGTGACGTTTTTGTTTATTGTACTGACGAAAAATCAGTCTTCCACGGAATGGTACAACGCTTTCGTCAATGCACAAATCTTCACCTGGTATGTAGTTCTTCTTGAAGTTTTCATTCAATTTATCTAACAACTTTGAAACTCTGTGTAGACGATCAAACTTATTAGCTTCATCTTGTGAAAAATGAAGCATTTGTAGTAACAGCTCAAAACGATTTCTTGACATGATTGTTCGTGGAAATGTATGTCCAATTATTTCATCCTGCGACCAATAGTCAGATAATTTAGGAAGCTTCACCAAACCCATAAATAAAATCAATGCAAAAAAGAACTTCATCTCAACTATGTCCGTTGGAAACCAATTACGAATTCGTGCTTCCTTTGAAGTTTGAAGACCTTACCTCCGAACTTGATGAGGGACCTGATGCTGTACTTTGTAACTCCAAGACGAGTAGAACTAGGTGTGCCGAGTTTCGGCACGTCGGGGAAAATATAAATGGTATTACCAAATTCAAGAGCAACTGCACATCATAACTAACAAACTCAGCACACCTAGTTCTACTCATCCAGGAGTCCCAGTAGTAGTCACTGAAGTACACCATCAGGTCTCTTCATCAATTCCGGAGGTAAGGTCTCATCATAACTAACTAAACGAGCCCAAACTCGGCACACCTAGTTCTACTCGTCCAGGAGTTCCAGAAGTAGTCACTGAAGTACACCAACAGAGCTCTCCATCAAGTGCGGAGGTAAAGTCTCGTCATGACTAACAAAACGAGCCCAAACTCGGCACACCTAGTTCTACTCATCCAGGAGTCCCAGTAGTAGTCACTGAAGTACACCATCAGGTCTCTCCATCAATTCCGGAGGTAAGGTCTCATCATAACTAACTAAAGGACCCCAAAATCGGCACACCTACTTCTACTCGTCCAGGAGTTTCAATAGTAGTCACTGAAGTACACCATCAGGTCTCTCCATCAATTCCGGAGGTAAGGTCTCATCATAACTAACTAAACGAGCCCAAACTCGGCACACCTAGTTCTACTCGTCCAGGAGTTCCAGAAGTAGTCACTGAAGTACACCATCAGGTCTCTCATCAAGTCCGGAGGTAAGATCTCGTGATAACTAACAAAACGAGCCCAAACTCGACACACCTACTTCTACTCGTCCAGGTGTTGCAGTAGTAGTCACCAACGTACACCATCAGGTCATTCTGTCAAGTCTGGAGGTAAGGTCTCGTCATAACTAACATAATGAGCCCAAACTCGGCACACCTAGTTCAACTCGTCGAGGAGTTCTATTAGCATTCGCCGTATACTTTCAGATCACTCCATAAAGTCCAAGACGAATAGGATTTATATATATTTATATATTATAAATCCCACTTGCTTTTAGCGAAACAAAACATTGTAATAAGAATTTCTGATTATAAAAATATATTTATATTACATATGTATTGCCGTGTAGTGGCGGTTAAGAATATCCACTACCCCATATCTTCCCGTGGGTGTCGTAAAAGGCGACAAAGGGAAACAGACAAGAGATGGGCAGCAGCGTCTTCCTGGTAACGGCAAAAAACAATAAAAAACTGCGGTTGCCAACCCGCTCGCCAAGCGTAGCAACTATGGCAATGTACCCCCCATGATGAAAGTTACGAAGAGACGGCCCCCAGTCCCCGGCGGCCGCGCTATACCTGGCTATGGTGGCGACCATGGTAACGGCGGGGCAGGGGGTGCTAAGAATCTCCGGTGGAGATTCGGTTGCCACCTACGACGACTCGACCTGGCAACATACAACGCACGCACCCTGAGGACTGACGAGAAGATAGTGGAGCTGGAAGAAGAGATAGACAAGTTACGCTGGCATATTATAGGATTATCCGAAGTCCGAAGAGAGGGGGAGGACACGGTAATCCTCGAATCCGGCAACTTGCTCTATTACCGGGAGGGCGACCATCTGTCCCAAGGAGGTGTCGGATTTATCGTCCACAAGTCTCTCGTTAACAACGTTGTAAAGTTTGAGAGTGTGTCGACGAGGGATGCGTACCTTATACTCAGAATCACCAAACGGTATTCGCTGAAGGTCATACAGGTTTACGCACCAACCTCGGCACACCCCGATCAGGAGGTGGAGGAAATGTATGAGGATATCTCTAGAGCCATGCATTCCTCCAAAACCCAATATACGGTGTTAATGGCAGACTTCAATGCAAAACTAGGCACAAGAGAGAACAGTGAGCTGAAAGTGGGGAAATTTGGAATAGGGCAACGGAACCCAAGGGGCCAGCAGCTGGCCGACTTCATGGAGAAAGAGGGACTCTTTATGATGAACTCTTTCTTTCAGAAGCGGCCCCACAGGAGGTGGACCTGGTCGAGCCCCGACGGTTCGACAAAAAATGAGATTGATTTCATTATGACGACCAGACGACAACTGTTCAGTGATGTCTCAGTGATCGCGAGGGTGAAAACCGGCAGCGATCACCGAATGGTTAGAGGCACACTGAACCTAAACGTTAAGTTGGAGAGGTCTCGTCTAATGAAGTCAACGCTCCGTCCCCCTCGTGCTCTAATCCAAAGTCCCGAAACCTTTCAGCTCGAGTTACAAAACCGTTTTCAGTGCCTAGAAGACTGCAATGAAGTGGACGATTTGAATGACAAGCTCGTGGAAACTGTCCATGCGGTCGGAGCTAAGTTCTGCAAGACCCGCCGCAGAAGAACACAAAAACTGTCCGATCACACTCTTAATCTCATGGCTGTTAGACGGGAAATGAAGCTACATTCTTCAACAGATTTGACAGCATACAGGTAACTGAACAGACAGATCTCCAAATGCATGCGGCGGGACTTACGCAACTTCAATACAGCTCGTATTGAAGAAGCGATCGAGCGGAACCAAGGCTCCAAAGTCTTTTCCAGAGATCTGTCTGCCAGAATAAGCCAACTGTCAAAGCTGAAGACCGAATGTGGCAGCATCGTTTCCGGGGCACCTGAGATTTTGAGTGAGATTGAGAGGTTCTATGGGCAGCTGTACACGTCATCGTTGGAGCCGCACGACATTATTCCGATGACATCCCGGACGTCAGTCTGAGCGAGATTAGAATGGCTCTCCAGCACCTTAAAAACGGCAAGGCCCCAGGCGAGGATGGAATTACAGCGGAACTTCTGAAAGCGGGTGGAAAACCGGTACTTGAAGTCCTTCAGAAGCTCTTTAATTCCGTCCTCCATAGTGGCATTACACCGGAGGCGTGGAGTAGTATTGCGGTGGTATTGTTCTTCAAGAAAGGCGATAACGCTCTCTTGAAGAACTACAGACCGATTTCCCTTCTGAGCCGCGTCTACGTGCTGTTTTCGAGAGTCATTACGAATCGTCTCGCGCGCAGACTTGACGACTTCCAGCCTCCCGAACAAGCCGGTTTCCGAAAAGGCTTTAGCACCATAGACCACATACATACCCTTCGGCAAATTGTACAGAAGTCCGAGGAGTACAATTTGCCACTATGTCTGGCGTATGTGGACTATGAGAAAGCCTTTGATTCCGTCGAAATTTGGGCGGTGCTGCGGTCCCTTCAGCGATGCCAAGTTGACTGTCGGTATATCGAAGTGTTGAAGTGCTTGTACAGTAGGGCTACGATGGCTAGCCGAGTACAGAACCAGAGTACGAAACCTATCCAATTGCAGAGAGGTGTAAGACAGGTGACGTCATATCCCCGAAACTCTTTACCGCTGCATTGGAAGATGTTTTCAAGCTTCTGGACTGGAAAGGATACGGTATCAACATAAATGGCGAGTTCATCACTCACCTTCGATTTGCCGATGATATAGTCCTTATGGCAGAATCGCTGGAGGACCTAAGCACTATGCTCAATGACCTCAATAGTGTTTCCCAACGGATAGGTCTTAAGATGAACATGGACAAAACAAAGATCATGTTTAATGTCCATGTCACACCTATGCCGGTAGTTGTTGGGAGCACTAAGCTCGAAGTTGTTGACGAGTATGTTTACCTGGGACAAATAGTCCGACTAGGTAAGTCCAACTTCGACCGAGAGGTCAATCGACGGATACAACTCGGCTGGGCAGCGTTCGGGAAGCTACGACATATCTTCTCGTCAGACATACCTCAAAACGTTAAAACGAAATTGTACAACCAGTGCGTGTTGCCAGTGATGACATACGGAACTGAGACGTGGTGCTTCACTGCTGGCCGTATGAGGAAGCTCAAGGTTGCTCAGCGAGCTATGGAGAGGGCTATGCTCGGAGTTTCTCTGCGTGATAAACTCAGAAATGAGGATATCCGCAGTAGAACCAGAGTGACCGACATAGCCCAACGGATTAGTAAGCTGAAGTGGCAATGAGCCGGCCATATAGCTCGAAGATTCGGTTCTTCGAGCTATATGGCCGGCCCATTGCCACTTCCGATGGGGAAGAAAGGTTCTCGAGTGGCAGCCTCGTACCGGCAGGCGAAGTGTAGGGCGTCCCCCCACTAGATGGAGTGACGACCTGGTAAGATATGCAGGAAGTCGATGGATGCAGGTGGCTCAGGACCGTGCTTTGTGGCATTCTTTGGGGGAGGCCTATGTTCAGCAGTGGACTTGTGAAGGGCTGTAATGATGATGATGATGATGACATATGTATTACTTTACTTTGTCAGGTCAGGTACCTATTTATCAAATTCAAATATTTTGTGTTTGTACAGCGATCTTTTCCAGCTGCTGCAGGCGATACAGCGACCACCCGCGATCATAGATAAATATATATGTAGCAAGCTACCACCCGCGATGGCGGCCGAGCGCCGACTGTGGTTTCATCGAAATTTTTGTACAACAAATCAAAACAGGCACTAAAAATATAATAACCCTTATTGCAATCCATTAGGATTTTGTCGAGTCTCGGGAATTCTCGATAAGAATTTATAGAAAATTCTCAAGTTGTCGCGAAATTTTTAAATTTTGGAAAGAAGTAATTAAATTGTGCGCATATAACTGACAGCTTTATAACTTCTTTAAAAAACAATATTACGCTTTTTAATAATCATCATCATTAATGTATTATTCATCAATCATGTATTATTTAGGTTATTTTTTATTATATTGAATATTATGTTAGCTTGGCTAATATTAATAACGCAGTCTTTTGATACATATAATAAATAGTGTGTAAGTATCTGAGGTTATTTCTATCAACTGGGTTGGACTTTTAATCTCGGAATAAAGAATATCTGCTTCAAAATCTTATTTCTTTAACAAAATACCTAGACTTTTAACTACATACATCACACTTTTTTCTCATTTCGAATATGGCCGAATTTTTCAAAAATTCTTGCTTGAGAAACCCCAGTATGTATTTTTAAATATAATTTTACTTTACTTTATTTGTTGATACTCTTTACTGTTGCATTTTGATGTCGCAACTAATGAACTGACATTCATAAAAAGGCGGTATAATTAGATGGAAGTTCTATAAATTTTGTTCAGAACTATTATGTAATATTATTTATATTTTATATTTTGCGAATTTTATATAAATATATGAAAAATTGGGTCTACCAAGTTACAAAAATTTATATATTTATTTATATATATATATTCTTAAGCTGCGGCATTAGTCGCATTAACATTAGTTTTAGAAGTGTTTTGTTGTAGTTGATATTGCGTATAAAATAATTTATAGTTAGGAGAATTTAATACATTTTTGTTGATCTGCTTAGTACATTTGTCAAATAAAATCTGGTCATGCTGGAATGAAATGAAAGTTGAGATTAGAGGGAGTTTTGGCGGGAACTTGACCGGTGACGGTTTGTTGCTCCTGTATTATAGTTTAAATAATAGTTTGAAGTGGATTTTGATATGTAAAATTGGTGCGATTTTATGTATTAACTGCCTACTCATGTGAACTATTAGTGGAAACGGTGAAACAAGTGCTCTGATGGTGATGTGATTCTCAAGATAAGCTGTTTGTCTCCATAGACGCCTTGAGATACCATCGCCAACTGTCAACTGTCTGCTGGCTCAAGTTGCCGTCAAAATCTCCCAAGGGCTGCAAAATGTGACGCATCAACATATTGTGAAGCAGTGAACTCTGAAGGATAATTATACATTTATGGAAATTATAATAAACCGAATAAAAATACTCAAGACTTGGACGAAAGGTCTAGATACCAGGCCATATACTCAAAAAAAAAGTTGAGATTAGCTTCCTACATTATTTATTTATCTATGTCTATGGTTGAGAATTAAGATTTGTGGTTTTACATTTGGTTCAGTATAGGGATGTCGACACAAACTAGTAAGAAGTGCTAGCGGATGTCGATGTTGTAGAAACATCAATGATGACAATGATGTTGACATCGATAGCTCAACATCGATGTTCGATGTTTATCCTACTCAAAACATCGATGTTGGCCATTATCGATGTTTTTTGCACATGCGTTTAATAGGTTAGAATTAGATGAATAAAAAAAGTCATGTTTTTTATGGTTTATAATTAATGTAATAAAAGAAATTAACTAACTTTGTAGTGAAAACAGAAATTTAAAAAAATGGAAGAAGTTTACAATTATCTAATTCAATTGTTATATAGTACAATATTTTTGCCGATTCATTAAACAAATAGTAATTCTGACAAAGAAGTGCCTTTCAATCTATTTCTCTGTACAACTGACTTCAATATAAATTATTAAGGATAAATCAAAAGCTATTGGTCAGATTTACATGGGTCAAATTTATATGGGAAAGAAAAAGAATCATCGAAATCGGTTCAAAAAAGTTCAAAAACCGAAAAAAGTTATGAGGTAACACATTAAAAAAAGAACATACAGTCGAATTGAATTTTTGAAGTCGGTAGATAAACGCTCAGATGGCGATGATGTAGCGATTGTGGTCGTGAAGTTTTTTTTTTATTTAAGATAGAACCAATAACATTGTTCTAAACATGCGTTGGATCGTGTTTAAGATCAACCATCGGATTTTTTTAAAAACAACCGATAAAGAAACAGACAACCAACAACGACACCAATAACAAAACGAAATCAGTGACAACTGCGACTTTACAGTTGACACTTAACAGTTAAATTTGATACACCATAATGATATATTTTTAGGTTATCGATGCTTTCAAGCATTCTGAATTTTTAAAAATTTTAAATATTTTAGAGGAGATGCAAGATTTAGTTGATATTGATTTCGCGGGATCGCAGTGTTCGCAAGTATCCAATAATCGATTAAGGGTTTATTGACATCGATATTTCGATGTTTGACATGTGGCAACATCGATGTTAAAACATCAATGTTTTCATTTTTGACATCGATGATCATCGAACACCCCTAGTTCAGTATCATATAAATATAATCATATTAGTCTGTGATTTCGTTGGTCAAAGTAACAAAATTGTGTATAAAGTTTTTAATATTTGTTTTAGATAAATTTAAGATTCTGTAGTAAGTTTTAGGTAACTAACGTTATATTTAATTATACTAAAATGAGTTTAGTGGCTAATACTGGGTAAGTTTTATTTTGTAAGGTTAAAAACAATATTTCGTGATCTACTTTCGCTTTTGCTTCTTCTTAGAAAATTGGCTGGTCGGACCCTGTTCATAACGGGTGCTTCTAGAGGTATTGGAAAAGCTATCGCCTTAAAAGCGGCAAAAGATGGAGCGAACGTTGTTATTGCCGCTAAAACAGCTGAACCACATCCAAAACTACCCGGTACCATTTACACTGCTGCAGAAGAAAGTAAGTTGTTCATGGATTTACACAGTGTTAAACAATTTTTAACGACGAATGTTCATGTATTTCATAATTTGGTAAAGCGAATATTCAAAATAGTAGTATTTGACTTAAGTGGACTTTGAACTTAATGCTACGTGCTAACGACCTTTGATGTTTTGAAAGCATAATATTTTAATAAATATATACGAAATAATTATTTTTAATTTATGCTGAGAAAGCCGAGATGATTTTTGTTTCCTTAAATATCGCAAATTCTTTCAGTTGAAGCTCTTGGAGGAAAAGCATTACCTTGTATAGTAGATGTGAGAGACGAAAAACAAGTGCAGAATGCTATTGATGAAGCTGTTAAAAAGGTGATTTTCGAATCTTGACTAATAAAATTATGGAAAGTACATTTCCTGTAGAAATGTACTTTTCATCTATATGTTTCTTTACTTGATACTGGATTGCAAAGAAGACAATCAACCAAATATCTTATATTTGGGAAGCTATGTTTTGTAATTATGATATACATGAATGACATGGACGAAAATAACCTATGGGAATAAGGTGATCGCCACCATCTTAGATTTATGAAAATTCATTTAAAAATTGTACAATTTTTTTTATTGTTAAGTGCTGTTTCTTGCTGGTTCTTCCCAAGACAGAGGTATTTTCCAAACCAGTGGTAAATAAAAAATGATTTTCAATAAGTATTATGTAATAATCAATATTGAATAAAAATTATTCTATTCTATTCTAATCACTGTGAACCCAAAATAAAATATGTATGTAATTAATGTTACTTGTTATTTTTTCTTATAAAATGTGTGTTGTTCAATTATATTATGAACTAAATTTGTCACCTTTATGATGTTTTAAGAAATTAACTTAATCATATGTATGAAATTCTAAAATAATGTCTGATTATATTTGTTATTGTCTTGTTTTAGTTCAATGGAATTGACATCCTGGTGAACAATGCTTCAGCTATATCTCTAACAGGTACAGCACAGACCGACATGAAGAGATATGATCTTATGCATAACATCAATACGAGAGGGACTTTCTTAACGTAAGTTTTCACCCAGTTATTTTACATGAAAGTATATCCAAAAACAATGGCTTTGTTAGAAAAGTGATGAATAAACTATCAATTCACAACATAATAAGTGGCCACTGCAGCTTATGGATCATCATCATCAACAACATTACAGTCCTTCACAAGTCCACTGCTCAACATAGATCTCCCCAAATCTGTATCTTTTACCAGGTTGTATCTAGTGGAGGGGGCAGGGCTTTGCTTATCGGTGTGAAGCTACCTCTAGGGAACTTTCCCCCTCAACTGTTGTTGGTTCTTTGTGCTACATTTTGCCACTCACTTACTGATCTGTTAACTGCTGAGCAATGTCAGTTACTCAGGTTCTACTCTGTATAACCGCAGTATGTTCTTAACAAACCTGGGTACAACTGCCATAGTAACCTCGAAAAATAGATGAAAGCAGATAGCTTGTTTATATGAGGTCTATTTATATTTATCTAGGTATATTGTGAGTTATGCTGCTATTTTTTTTACACTCATTTTTTATACTAATTTATAGTTTGTTCATCACTTTTCTAACAAACATATATACCAATGGAAGTGACTGCAGGTATCCATGGGCTGTAGTAGCCCCTTACCATCAACTGGACTGTAAATTCATTTGCCACTTCACAAAAAAGTGTACTTAAAAACTTTATCAGAGCAGTTGCTTTAATTGTCAAAGACTAAGTATAGTATTTCAACAAGGAAATAGAGCCTGCACTTTATGCACTATTATGCACTTTCTGTCTTATCTGGTCTTAAAAATTAATTAAGTAATATTTAGTGAATATAAATAATTTATTGCATTTTTTTCTACTTTATTTGCCTCAATTGTCAATCTTGGTAGGCGGATTGATAATTTGATAATTGCAATACCTGATATATTGCATAATGTTGTATTCATTCATTGCAATATCCCAAAAAAGAGGACTGTGCCCAAGAGTGGGACATACATAAAGTGTAACTTTACTTTTTTAACTTCATTTATTACAACCCATTAAAAAAAATGAGAAATTAAACAGAAGATAATTTTGTATAATGTTGTTAATTTTTTGTATATGCTTAATTACATCTGTTACTAAAATATAAGGTTAAATTTGTCTTTAAAATTTTCAGATCAAAACTTTGTCTACCTTTACTGAAGAACAGTGACCATGCTCACATCCTGAACTTATCGCCTCCATTAAATATGAACCCATATTGGTAAGAAATTTGTATATTTAAAAAAGTAATTTAATGTTTTAAATACAGCACTAGTATGAAATGACAAAAAAAATTAATTTGTGTCTACATTTAGTTTAATATGAAGCTTGATTGATTTATAACTTCTTACAGGTTCTCAATTCATGTGGCTTACACAATGGCTAAATATGGAATGTCAATGTGTGTCCTTGGCATGAGTGAAGAATTCAAATCTTTTAACATTGGAGTTAATGCTCTCTGGCCTAAGACAGGTTAGTGTGCAGCTAGATAACAAAGTGTAATACAATATAGAACACATTCAACTTGAATTTGGAATTTATTTAAACACTAGCTGTTCCTTGCGACATCACCCGTGTGGAATTTATTGCGATTAAATTTTATGGGTTTTAATTTTTTTGTGTGAAACCCTAATTCTTTTCCTAAAATAAAAGTAGCCCAAGTTACTCCTTATAACATCAGCTATCTGCCAGTGAAAGTCCCATCCAAATTGATTCACAGGTTTTTGCTTAATGTGTGTTCAGACAGTTGTCATGTTAGTTTTATTATAGCATATAGATTATAAACTTGATTGTTACATTCTGATGATTATCATTATTATTACAATTTGTTCTTTGAGCCAACACATATTGCAGGGCCTAGTGCAACTTGTATAGATATTTTACTGATGTTGAGTCCTTACTTAAATTAATTATTCAAAATTTAAGTTCTGATCACTGTGGACAGTTAGTTTTGCTACCTTACATGCACCAAAAACAGAAAGTTAAGAAAGTTGTGCTTGTTCCAATAAATGAACATCGCTTAGAGAGATTTAGAAGTAGTGTAGTGAAAAAGCTGCCTTTTCTTCCATAAACATAAACAATACTATTTATATGGATCATTATTTAAGCTAATAAGTCTTGAATTTAGTCATACATTTACTTCTAAAACACTCTTTAAACTGTCGCAAATCGTTTAATGAGAGGGCGACATTAGGAATAGTACACAAAACTTATACAACCTTTACAATGAAAGATTATTAATAATGAAAGATTAGTAATATAAATTATTATATAATCATAATGTTTCATTTAGAGAATATGTAAAAAAATATTCCAAAATATTTAAAAGAGTGTGTTCTGCAGCCAAGTCTTTATATTTAAAAACAAAATTAAGAATGCCTCTAATAAAATTAAAATGACTGAGTATAATCAATAGTGAAACTGGCAAGATGAAACTACACAACTCAAACTTTCAATTAAATTTTAACAACAATTTTACAAAATTAGATCAAGACGTTGCATCGGCTTTTGAACAATATTTTACCGACATTCCGATCTTGACTACAAAGTCACCTAAATGCTCCCCTGCTGTCGCCGAGTTATTACTCAAACAAAATGTAAATGTCTGTAAAAAAGAATTTGCATTTCATAGAACATTATCAGGTGATATTGTAGAATATTTCAAAACTAATGATATTAAGAAAACAGTAGATCTATGATGGTTTTCTGTTAAAAGTTATTGCATCTATAATAGATGCGATCGCACCCCAACTTGCTATTATTTTTAATGCTAATATCAAATCTGGTGTGTTTCCTGATTTAAGGAAACATAGTAAAGTTATACCTTTATTTATATCTGGCAGTACATCGGACCACACTAATTTTAGACTCATTTCTGTACTGCCAACGCTCAGTAAAATTTTTGAAAAAATTATTCTAGATCAAATGTTAAAATTTTTTTAATGTAAATAAATTACTCCATAACAATCAGTTTAGATTTACAAGGGGTCTTGACAACTGATGCCGGTGTTAAGCTAATCGAACATATTTTCTGTGCATGGAAAAATTCGGAAGATGCTTTGGGTATATTTTGTGATCTTTCCAAGGCTTTCGACTGTGTTCACCATGAGACATTAATCAGGAAGCTGCATCATTATGGTGTAAAAAACATAGCGCATAAACTTCTTATGTCATATATAATAGAACGCAAACAGTTGTTATTAATGCTTGCAGTTTTTCTGGATCGATAGTATCTATTATGGGTGTTCCTCAGGGCTCAGTTCTTGGTCCCTTTCTGTTCTTAGTTTATATTAATGACTTACCTTATGATACCTTACTTGGTAGGGAATAACCATGATATAGTATTACTTGCTGATGATACTTCGTTGATTTTCCGACTAAAAAGGCAATAATTGAAATATGACGAAGTGAATAATGCTATATCAAAAGTAGTACACTGGTTTAACACCAATAATTTGCTTTTGAACAGTAATCAAACGAAATTTATTGAATTCACTGCATCTAATGTTAAAAAGGTGAATACCAGTGTGCTTTTAAATGGAGAGGAACTGGGCCTTGTTGAATCCACTGTTCTTCTCGGTATTATAGTAGATGCGAAGCTTCTATGGGACCCTCATATATCTAAACTGGCTACTTAGTTCTGCAGCATTTGCTGTTTCGATTAGTTTATTTTAGTTATTTCCATAGCATAATGTCATATGGAATCTTGCTATTGCGTTACCCACGCGACTGACATTGAAAGTATCTTTGTTTTGCAAAAGAGAGCCATAAGAGCAATTTATAACCTAGGTCCGAAGGTATCCCTTAGAGAAAATTTTAAAGAAATAAATATATTAACTTTAATCTATATTTACGAGAATTTAATGTATGTATACAAACACAAAAATAGTTTTATTAAAAATAGTCATGTACATTCTGTACATACTAGGAACAAGCACAAGTTAGTTATACCAGTTAGTAATGGGGCTATGTATACGCTTTTCCAACAAAGTCCCAGAAAATATGCAGACCGTTTCAAAAAGTTTCAATTATTTATTAAGCAAAAATTGTCTAGTAAGGGTTATTATTATACTACTAAAGAGTACATGACTGATGATAACCTCTAGGATTGAGGTGATCGCTAACACGCTGTTTCTAAATGCTTTCATAACAATTGTATAAAATATTGTATTGAAAATTTAGTTTTTCAATAAAAGTCTCTGGGTTTCTTGCTGGTTCTTCCCAGGACAGAGGTTTTTTTGCAAACCAGTGGTAAAAGTAAAAAAATAACTTTCAGTAAGTATTATGAATTGTAATCTATATTGAATAAAAATGATTCCATTCTATTCTATTACACACATAATATTAGAAGAACAATATAGATTTACGGTTTACATAGAAATAAATGTGGCAAACATGCACAAAGTCCATCTGATGATAAGTGGATGTTGTGGGCCATAGGCATTTAAACCTATCCACAAATAAAAATCAAAATGCAGATGTGTTGTCTCCCCTGAAAACTGATGGAATGCCTCGCTTCCAGTAAAAACTCTTCCGGTATCTAGTTCTCAAAACAAAATATTTATGAAACATAAGCATAATTAAGCTACTAATTTATGCAGGCATTCTGTGAGACTGTGGTCTTTCTTCGGTAGAACTAGTAGTCATTTGTGCTCAACCATAATATAGCTGCAGCATGGATCTACCATGTGTAAAACTTAAATAACTAAAACAGCATGAATATATATTAATGCCATGATTATTCCTCAAGTGTAGTGCATTTTGGTTTGGAATTTTTGTATCAGCCTGTAAGGCTGCATTTATAAAACATGTTTACGTTTGTATTGGAAAGGGAGATTTTTGGATTGGACTGAAAGTCCAGATGGCCATCAGCATTATCAAGTAGCATAACATGCATCCAATTAATTGAAATACTTATATCAGCATCATAATATATGATATTGTTTTTTCAGCTATTGCTACAGCTGCAATAGAAATGCTGACCGGAGACACATCAACCAGTCGCAAACCAGAAATTGTTTCCGATGCAGCATATATAATGCTTTCTCAGTAAGTAGTGGTTTTCTTAAATTGAACTTCTTGAGGTGGAGATGATACCCTGATACCCTGCAAAGGTAATGTTGCTCTCCATCATCAATCTGTGAAGTTTGAGCTTAGCTTTTTTTAGAATGTATAGTATGGGTTAGGTTGTTATTAGAAATAAATGTTGACATTAGCTCAGTAGCAGTGTCAAAGCATTTGACTGAGACATTGCAGGTTATTTTTTCATGCGCCATTTTTGTTCTGTGTCTGGGTATATGACAATGTCCAATTTATGAATGTTATTCAAATACAAGCGAAACTTTACAAAGGAAAGCAAAGCAAAAAATACGAAAAAAGTATTCCCCTTTCGCCCTATTATTTTGAGAAACATTTGATTTATCATTTAATTTAAAAATAATTTACTATAGAGACCCAAAGAAGTACACTGGCAACTTTGCTATTGATGAAGAGGTATTGAAAGAGCATGGGATTAAGGACATGACACCATATGCTTGTGATCCAAGTGAGTATTATTGGTATTATTATGTATAAAATGACCTTCATACATTCCACAGTAAGTTCAGACCACTTATTTTGACATGGAGTGACATACTTCACTCACTCGCCATACAAATATGTATTTTCAATTTCTCACACAATCAGGTTTCCTCACTTTGTTTCTTTCACTGTCTACCATGTGGTAAATCAGCACTTAAAATTGAAAATAAGAACTTCAATCGTATCTGCATGTTCAAGCAAACAAAATATTATAGTTTAGAGAAATATTTTACTACTGACAGATTTCGGACTAATAGGCCGTGTAAATGTTTACATGTGTAGTTTTTATGTCCAAATTTAAAACAATGACGGAAGTTAATCTGATATTTTTAGATTGTAATGTATATATAAATCAGATTTAATAGGTACAATCACGGAATATTTAAAACAAGAGGAAGTGCAAAGTGCCAAAAACAGGTGCAGTACTGCCTGACCCAATTGATTGTCAGTCACAGGCTGACATTGTCGCGAGTTGACTTGTCGCTGCTTAATAGATGTATGTGCAAAAATGCCCTAATATGAAATATTGAATGCAGAAATAAATATAACATATTAATAACGGGGATATTCATAATATATTAATGTAATTTCTCAATATTAACTTTATTTCAATACTTTACTAATGATTGAACATCTAAAGGTCAGGCAGTTTATCTAAAACGACATTATGTAGTTTTTACAGAAATATAGAATTATAGTACCCAACTGTATGCGCAAGCAGAGGTGCACTGTCTGTTCCCTAACTACATAGTCCGATGGTACGGTAATACTTAGAAGTTTAGTGCTTTCTGAGACACTGGTACACGCAAGTGAAGGTATAATTGCGACATCTAGCATCGAATAGCAAAATTTGTTCGTCAATCCTAAAATCTCCTGATAAAAAGGCATAATGATCTCTATTCGTAGTAATTTATGTTGCGTTTTCAAACGAAATGCGGTATTATTGCGATATCTCATTTTAAATTTTACCGTTGTATAATATTGTCATGCTGAATCCATTCATTAGTCTATGAAACTTTCTAGATTTATAGTAGTCTGATCAGGGGTGTCACTTCCACTATGGAAGGTATGGAGCACTCCATACCTCAAGTTTTTCAAGGTATGGAATTCCATAGCTGAAATTAGGAAATAAATCGCATATTACTACAAACCCCATATAAATAAATCGCAAGCCCTTAAACCTCAATACCCCACATCTTATAGTTCAATAAATAAGTTGAGTATATACACTGCAAACTCTTAAACCTTAATACCCCACGAGTAATGCGAACAAATTTGAAAATCGCGCCACCATTTTCCATACCTCACATTTTTACAAAGTGACACGCCTGAGTCTGATCTCTATTTATAAGATCTTATGGTTCGTTCTCAAGCTGATGGCGAGTAACTTAAAGCCTTTCTTATTATTTCCTGATAGCAAATTACGCGAAAATTAATTATTATTATTTAAACAGTACATATGTTTTTTCTGCTAATGTGTAAGTTTGAGGACAGTATTTTTTTTTTATAGAATAAGGGTAACGAGCACACAGTCCACCTGATAGTAAGTGGTTGCTGTGACCCATAGACATCTATATTTATTCTCAATAAAGAATCAAAATGCAGATGCGTCGTTACCCGTGAGGACTAAGATGGAATGCCTCTTTTGCAGTAAAAAGCGTCTGCGGTTCTCTATTATTATTATTATTATTATATAGCCGCAGCATGGCTCTACCACGTACCAACAGTTACATATTTGCCACTTCCTCTTGTTCTAATATTCCGTTATTAAAACTGTGATTCCAGTCTGATAATTATTTAGTGAAATTACAAAGAAATATTATAATATTTTTGAATATCAGGAAGAGCTCTCCTGAAAAATATAATATTTAAGGATCTGGACTAGTGCCGGATTTTTAATTATCTGTTTGCAAAAACAATTTGTGGGCCGTAATTTATAATTACTCTAGGAACCCTGTTTTTTTTCTCAACTGTCGCCGAACAGACAACATAAAAGTATAATTACTTTAGAGAATGCGGATAATCTTCTCCTGGACGGATTTCTGGACGACCCAGCTGCAATCAGTCACCACCAAACAGTATCCACTGCCTCACTTAGACGTTATCATACAACCCCTGTCAATAATAAGGAGAAGGTTGGTTAAAAAGTCAAATCTCTTATGCCCTTGTTTTGCTTTAATAACAATATCTCTAGTATTTCTCGCAATAGAATAAAAAAAAACTAGGCTTTAGGGACTTAGTTTTAAACAGAAATGGTTTTATTTTATTGATACTTTAGTTAAAAAAATACAGGCCATCACCCACATACCTACAATATATTAATATGAGTTATAGCAAGACAAAGTATGATGTATTTTTAGTTGTTCATGAGCTGTGATAATCCTAGCAGGAATACAAAGTCATAATCAAGAAATAATTGTATTGTCACGTGTTCTTAAAACACCTGCAAAACTCCAGATTATTCAGACATGCGAAAATGGATGAAAACAAAATTGTAAAATTCAATTCATACATACAGTTCAAGCCAATTAAAACGTGTTGGTAACCTCTTTTATAAAAGTTAAAGTTACAGCCCATATACGCCCCATGGGCTGGGCACAGGCCTCCCCTCATATCTGAGAGGGTTTTAGGGCAAGGAAATATCCACCGCGCTGCGTGTTGGCGAAGTTCACGTCTTAGAAAAAAAAATTTTATTTCTCAGACATGCAAGTTTCCTCACGATGTTTTCCTTCACCGCCGAGTATGTTTGTAATTAACAATTTTATTGGTGCTGGCGGGGATCGAACCCGGTTTGCTCGTGTACTGTAAAATTTACAGCGAGCGCTAACCATCTGAGCTACCACGGCCTCTTTCGTAGTTCTATGTATTTTGTTCCTCCCAAATAAATATTTTAAATGTAGATAGAAATCTATCAAATACAATGCACTTAATTATTTATAGTTAATGGTATCAAAAAAGTTTAAAGAAATGAAAAATGCATAATACGTTTTTTAGTACTAAAAGTAGGACTGACAAACCATTTGGGATTTTGCAAGACAAATATCACTGCATGGGGCATGCAGTGATACCAATAAAATGCATTCAACATGAAAAACTAAAAAGTCACATATTCCTTATAAATCTGTACTATGCACCATTCCATTGATGAAATAACATTTAGACAATATTAAGCAATAAGTTGTATATCGAGAAATGAATTATGTATAGCCGTGATTTTTTTTTTATAAATTATGCTATTTTAAACTAAAAAGCAGGATTATTAAAGAAATCTATTTAGAAAGTTCGCCTTACAAATATATTTAATGGTCTATTCATCAAATATAAATTTTAGCTTGGGTTAACTTTTAGTCCAAAGCTGTTTTACTTATTCGAAACCAAAAATGCAAAATTAAAACATTTTTCTATTTTATAACTAAAACTTTTATAGGAGAATAAGTGGTCAAAGATTGTTTATCTTTTTATTAACTATTTTTAATGTTTATGCTTAACTTAAACTATAAACATGTTTTTTATATATATCATGAGGTCGTTTGGGTTATTAACATTCTCTAAGTTCTATACCACCGAGCAAAACAGTCCACTGCTCTGTTCTGGTCTGAATTATAAGGAAAGCCAGTATTCTCGCTACCACTAACTGGTGGGTGGGACATTCTATCCTAGTCGTCAGAAGTGACAAGAAAGGTGTAGTCTTTGTTGTTTGAGCTTGTTTGCTTATTATGGACTGAATTAGCTGCTTACCATTAGATGGACTGTAGCTAGATTGCTACTTAAATGCTATTTAAGTAGCAAACAAGCTCACAGTTAATCAAATACTTGTTTGCTACTTAAATGTTATTATAAATAATTTGGAAATCCATAAAATAAACAAGATATTAATTAAGAAATAAATGTACTATATATTACTGTAGCTCATTGTTTAAATCATATAATCTTGTTAATGTGACCTGTATAGATAACTGTATAGATTTTTACAGATGTGTTGATTTATGCATGGGCTTACCTTGCATTTTATCTGTAATAGATATAATAGCACCTTATCTAGCCACTATATTTAATACAAGCGTCGAATCTGGTGTGTTTCTTGATTTAATGGAACATAGTAAAGTCATACCATTATTTAAATATGGTAGTACATTAGATCTCGCCAATTTTAGACCAATTTCTGTACTACCAACATTTAGTAAATTTTTTGAAAAAAATAATTTTAGATCAGATGTTAAGTTTCTTTAAATTAATAAATTGCTACGTAAAAATCAATTCGGTTTTACAAGGGGTCGCTCGACAACTGACGCTAGAGTTGAGCTTATTAAACATATTTTTTGTGCATGGGAGAATTCATAGCTTGCTTTGGGTATATTTTGTGACTTTTCCAAGGCCTTCGACTGTGTTCACCATGAGACATTAATTAGGAAGCCAAGAGTCAATCATATATGATTCTTGAATATCTTGATCTATGGTGACAAGAACGCAGCACTAAAACTTATTATTTCATATTTAAGTAATAGAATGCAGGAAGTTATTATCAATGGTAAAAGTTCTTGCAGGTCACCTGTATTAACGGGTGTCCCTCAAGGCTCGATTCTGGGCCCATTCCTATTTCTAGTGTATATTAACCTTCCCTTGTAGGGGATAGTCATGGTATAGTATTATTTGCTGATGATACTTCCTTGATTTTTAAACTTAAACGTCAATCATTTAAATGTGACGAAATGAATAATGCTATATCAAAATTAGTGCATTGATTTAACATTAATAATCTACATTTAAACGGAAATAAAACTAAATGTATTAATTTACAACAACGATTGTTAAAAATCTGAATACCAATGTGTTTTTAAATGGGGAGGAACTGAGCCCTGTTGAATCCACTGTTTTTCTTGGCATCACTCTCGACGCAAATCTTCAGTGGGCCCCCATATATCCAAACTAGCAGGCAGACTATGTTCTGTAGCCTATGCTATAAAAAATATTAGAGATCTCACTAGTGCCGAGATAGCTAGATTAGTTTATTTCAGTTATTTCCATAGCATAATGTCTTATGGAATTTCGCCTTGGGGAAATACGGCTGAATCAGAAACTATTTTTGTTTTACAGAAGATAGCCATTTATAACCTAAAACCGAGTCTCTTAGAGATAAATTTAAAGAAATAAATATATTAACTTTGGTCTCTCAGCATATTTACGAAAATTTAATGTATGTTCACAAAAACAAAGCTAGTTTTAGTAAAAAAACTGATATACATTCTGTAAACACTATGAACAAACACGAGATAGTGATACCAGTTTCTCGACTTCACAGAGTCAGTAATTCATTCTTGAAGTAATGTATACGCTATTACAACAAGGTCCCGGAAAGTGTACAGGCTCTCTATTACCAAGTTTAAATGTTTTGTTAAGCTGAAACTGTATAAAAAGGGTTATTATAATATAAACGAATACATGGTTGATATTAACCCCTGGGAATGAGGTGGTCGCTTCCAAAAAGTTTCTAAAATAAATTTTGTAAATAGTTTGTACAACCATTCATGTAACTATTATTTTAAAAAAAATGGTCCCGCTTGGTTTCTTGCTGGTTCCTCCCAGGACAGGGGTTTTGTTCGAACCAGTGGTAAAGTAAAAAATGACTTTCAATAAGAATTACACATGTGATCCATATTGAATAAAAAAAAATTATATTCTATTTTATTATCATGAAACAATGTGGCCGGAATCAATGAGGCGACTGTGAGAAATTCTTAGAAAATCTGTAACCTTTGGTAGACCTGCCTTGAATATGTCGGAAGTATAATTGGTAAAATTGTTTAGACTCGCGTCGTATAGTTTTATCAAAGTTTCAAGACGGCCGATATTGCGATCGACCAATGTCTTTAGTGTGATTATTATTAAACCCTTATTATCGGAGATATATGGATTCACCAGTAGACTTTTTTTTTATAAAACTAAAGTGACAAACAAACTTACTGTGCACTTGATGGTAGGTGGCTACTGCAGCCTACACTTGCATCAAACTCAAACAAAAAAGGCCACAGAAGCGTTGTCATCTCTGAAAACTAAAATGTCTCACAGCCCGTAATTATACTGGCATTCTATATAATACCCATTAGATCGGAACACAGACTTAGACATGTGGCATTCATTCATTTCTAGTGACACCCGATCATTCAAGCATTGGTTCATCTTACTAATTTGGGTTGATCATTCAAATGGATCATTTCGAGTTTCAGTACTCTGTGATCTGTGAGACCGGCTCAATAATGTTAGTAGTAGCAGGACATTACTATACTCTTTAGTCGTAGGCCCTGTCAATCTTTTGATTCGGAATGTTCAAAAAATGTAATTGCAATCATCAATACTTTGATGCGACCCGGGTCAATTACCGAATAATTCACGATTGACACATGTCTACCCTGACTTCTAAGCAGAAATGAGTCCTATGTACCACCTAGTAAATTCGTAATCAGTGATTACGTCTGATGATGAAAACATCCTACTGTTAGTATATAATAAAATTACAGAAACACTTTCAAAAATGGCATCATATTGTTCACAGGTAACATAGATAATCTGTTGCCTGACTTCTTTTTGGATGTACCTGCAAAGTCCAAGGAACAAGTTAAAAAGGTGTAAAGTTATAATAATATAAAAATAAATTCGTTTTTAATCATTGACCACTTATTCCAGTTCATTGCTTTTATTTCTATCAATCTCTGTGACATCTTTTATGTTTTAACTTTATATCAAACATCTATTTGCTTAACACATTCAAACAATGAAGGGTATAATATAAAAGAAGTTAGCCTAAATTAAAAACTTTAATAAATTTATCAACATTAGTTAAGCAGGCAGAATATAACAAAAAATACAAAAACTGTAATAAAATAGATTAAATGGTAATTAAATTATCTTGATTTAATTTGTTAATTTATACATTAAATTTTGATATAAACAATTTTGTAGTTATGTAAATTTAAAAGTATTGTATACTTTTGTACAACGAAACAAAAAATTCAATATACATGATTGATTCATGTATATTATGTCTTGCATATCCCCAAAATACTGAATATGTAGTTTCTACTGTGTGTCATGTTGGTATTGATTTATTTTATTTTATTGTTTGTATATGAGAAATACAAACACGGCTTAAAAATATTTTACAGCTTGTCTGTACGTTCATGCTTGTCTGGTTTCCTTTTGAAACTATACAAAATTTGCAATAATGTAAAATACTTCAACAGCAAGTTATTAAAATTACTCCCATACTAAGGATATCTTAAATATTATATTATTTAAGATATCTTAAATATAATATTATATTATTTTATTATATTAAATCGATTAGATAATGCTTGTTTATCAAATTATCTTATTTTTTATCAAATGCAGTTGCCATGTACATAAGTAATAAGGAGAAACATTATTTTCAGTAATTTTATGACACCTTTATATAAGTTTTACTAGAAAGATTGTTTTTATTTAATCCTATTTTTACATGTTTAGCTTTTTCGTGGAGTGGCTGTTTAAGTTGTCTAGATAATTTGATATTTTAAAGTTTAATTAATTTTTAACAATTTGCTTAGCTTAAGATAGCTCAGTCCACAAAGTTACACTTCACTATTTCATGTGACTATAATAGTAATTTATAACAAGCACTCGCATTGCAGTGTTTAAGATCAAAGACAGAGTGCAGTGAATCTTCATGGATTGGGCTTATTGGTTATACTTTATTATTACACTATAACTGTTTTATAAATTTGTAACATATTTCCTTTACAAAATGTATTTAACACAAGCTTCTTACAGAGTGAATTGAAGGGTGAGATACCGGAACTATTTGCCACTATCAGCAAAGTGATCACACCCGAACTTGTGAAGAAGACTCAAGCCATCTACCAGTTCAATGTTAAAGGTAAACTTAATTTTTTTTTTATAGAAATAAGAGTGAATAATAAGCACCTATCTCAACTGATAATAAGTGGACACTGTTGCCCATAGATATACACATATCTATCCTAGATTAAGAATTAAAATGCAGTGTTGGTTGTTAGCACTGAAGAATAAGATGAAATACTTTGATTACGATAAAAAGGGTCTGTCATTATTCACATAGGAAACACAGCAATATGCTGCTATTTCACGCTGGTATTCTGTTCGAGTGTGAGCATTCATACTGCATTTATTATATGCTCCATATTGCGTGGCTCTACCTTTAATGTGTATATATATTTCATTTATGCTACATCTCTGTAGCTACTAGTTTAAAAAAAAACAATGAATTTATTTTGCCATAGATGTGCACACAATAATTACGTGATAGTCATGCGGTACTGGCTTTATTACGTTTATTTATTTTATTTTATTAATATGGTGAACAAGAATCTGAGACTTTATTGCAAATAAGATCTTTGTCTTTTGGGTAAAAATGTATAATTTTGATTCTTATCTGAAGAAAATTTAAGAGAAAAGGATTTTAATAATTCATAAACCTTATCACCTGTTCAGCATATGCCATGTATGTATATAAGTTTCCACGGCTTCTTCTATCCATCAAGTTTGTCATGCACATCTTTGTCACCATTAATTATATTAAAAGCTAAATAATCAGTGGGAATATCTAAATACTCTTAAAAGCCATCAACTGGGCAATGCATGCTATGTCATTGATGTTGGAGGGTACAGGCGCAATTTAACTCGTTCACTGTCCAGTTTGCAGACACAATAGTAAGACAATAGCAATGACCTATATGTAGTGCACGGGACAGCGAAAGGGTTAATAAGAACAATGACAATGTAACACTACTATCTAATTAATATTGTTTACCTTTAATTAAGGATACTTTTATCTTAACTCGGTTGGTCATATAGCTCAAAGTGCTGACAACTAATGGGGAAGAAAACGGTCCTCACTAGATGTACTGACAATCTAGCAATACGTGCAGGTGGCTCAGGACCTTGTTTTGTGGCATTCCATGAAAGATGCCTATGTTCAGCAGTCTACTTGAAAAGCGCTGTAATGATGATAATGATGAATATGATGATTATTATCTTAACTATTTTATTTTGTTAGTATTGCATTATGTATAAATTTTGGTCTTGTTGGTGAACCTAATAACCGTGAAGAAGTAAATATAAAGCAAGAGGTTTGGTTTTTAAGTAATAATGCAATGTTGTGATTGATATTGAAGGGTTAGAGAGACAATTAAATTGTAGACTGTGAAGCATTTCATGTTAGTCCTCTGTAGTATTTTTTTGAAGTGTACGGCTATGCTGCAGCACTTTTCATTAGGTGGACTATAAATAAGACAATTCCAGCCTAGAAATAGATACATACTCCTACTACCTGGAGTCCTAGGCCCGTGTTAATAAAACATTACTCAACGACGAACTCAAGTGCGTAATCATTTGATACGCCCTCATTACGATATCAGCATCTCAAGATCGTTGCTAATTAATAAACACATAAAAACAGTATCTCAAAACGCTCTACTTAGGAATACTGTTCTGTGACTTGCATTCAAGTACACACACTTGAGAGTCGAGTTTCGTTTACTAATCAGTGTGGCACTCAGCTGATATCGTAAACCTAAACCGCATCATGAGATAATGTTTATTAATATAAGATCATAACCTTAAGATTGTACTCAATTGCGTGTACTTGAGCTGAGTAACGTTTATTAATACGGGCCTTAGAGTAATTTACTGAAAATCTGACCTATATTGAAGTGCCACAATTAGTTTAAGTATATAATTTAAATAATTCTTTACAATAAGCATTTTTTGTTTAGGCAAAGAAGAAGGCGTTTGGCACATAGATCTGAAAAATGGCGATGGCACTTGTGGTCAGGGTGAGCCTAAGAATCCCCCTGATGCAACATTAACTATGGACAGCACAAACTTTGCCGAAATGTTTGCTGGTGCGTTAACAAAGTTTATTTCACAAAAATGATTTTAAATGTTTGCAAATATTAATTATTTTTGAGTTTTCAGGTAAGTTAAAACCTACCACTGCATTCATGATGGGTAAGCTAAAAATAAATGGAGATCTTCAGAAGGCTATGAAGTTAGAGAAAATGATGAAGTCATTGAAGACTAAGGTTTAATTTTCACATAAGTGTATATTTTAATGTATACTTTTTTTTATAAATAGTGCAATAGATATGACTGTTTTATAGTTCAATATTTTTATAAACAAAATTATAAAATCACAGCTATTTTAAGATAATTTTTTTATAAGAAGACTGTTTAAATAATACAAGAACAATTCCAGTACAAGTATCAAGCTACAAAAGATGTATCATTTTTTAATTTTTTAGGATGCAATTTGTGTAAGTAATGCAGAATGAAGTTTGTTAGGAAGTATTAATTACAAAAGCGTTATTTCGTAGTTATCTACATTATATGTATTTTTGCATATTTAATGTATAAGTACTTTTTTTATAAATACAAGTCTAAGTAAAATAAATGAATAATAACATTTCTATTTTAATAATAATTATTAGTAAAATCATTTTTCCCAATTTTTTCTGAAAATTTAATAATCTATGTTTCTTTTTATTTAATTCTTCTAACGATATATTATATTTTTTTTATTTCTACGAATATTATGAATTATACTTTCAAATTGGTTGCTTTGATTCAACCTAATCAATGGTTCAATATTTTATATATAATATCGATTGACACTGCCATTGTGTATTAAGTTTTCATTACTTCATTTGAAATAAAGTCCCACTCAGAGCTGTTAGAATATGTCATATTGTTGTTTGTAAAGTAAATGTAGTACATATTAACCTGTTACCCCTTTTATTTTATTCTACTGTAGAATACTTATATAAAATATTTGGATTTCATCATTATTTATGTCCATCTTGTACTTGTATTGGAGTTACATTATATGTGGAAATATGGTATGGAAACATTTTATGTAAATAAAGTTCATTTTTATATTTTTCGTCTATTTATTTAACTATCTCCTTATATCATCCAAAAAGTTTTATGATAACAAAATTATAACAACCTTAAGGAACGATGTGTAACTGATATTGATATCATAAACATATAACACATAGGTACCTAACATGTAACTGATAAACAGAATTTCTTACTAGAAAAGAACATTTCATGATCATGCTTATGTGTAATAAAGATTGAAGTTTATATTTAAGTGTATAGATTATAGTTATTTGTTAGTTGGAGCTGTGATAGCCCAGGGACAAAGTGCTGCCATACATTTTTACAGTACATGAGCAACCCAGGTTTGATAGTCCCTGTACCAATAAAATAGTTAACCGGTTCAGTGCGGGGTGACACGCCAGGCGTGCCATCGATTACTTTTGTGTGTGGCGTATGACACGCGAGTCGTGTCTTTTTAAAAATCGCTCAAATTGCTTTTTTGGAAAATTTATCCAGAACAAAATATTCATTATTTTGCGAGTAGTTCATGCATGCAGCTTCGTTTCTGGATATTTTGAAAATTTGAAATTTTTAGGGGTTGACAACCTTTTTTTAACGTGTACATGGTACTATTTTTACTTTGTGGGTTTTAAATCATGTTATGGAAAAAAAGTCTAATAAGTAACAAATAATAGCACTCATTGCGATCGCTCACAAACTCAAGTTCTAAATAAATTTCTGGAAAATAAGTCTCCTGTTAAAAAAAAAACAATGCGTTTGTCTTATTGTTTAATTTTGCTTAAAATGGTTGAACTGCCGTCATTACTATCATATGGCCGAATAGACCTACGAAGTACCATGTGCTCTTGTGATATGGTATAAGGTTTATTTATGCTTCAAACAGTTCGAAACCGTTCATGCATAAAAACAGTTCGCTAATAAATTGTCTTTTGTCAATCCGCCACCGTATAGCGCCGGCGTTCTTTTCCTTTTGAAAACACTTGTTTTGCTATTCTTACTAATTAGACGTTTTCAGATCAACTTTACTTTTACATTTGTATAACATTAAATAATATTTAACATTTGTAAATATCAATGAATTATATACCTTATTTTTTTTCAAATTAAGGTTCTTAATTGTTTGATATTTACAAATGTTATTATTAGGTGAAAATTTAATTTAATAAAAACCAAGGTTTCCAGACTGATTTAGCTGTACCTACTTATATAAATGTTTTTTTTTTTATAACAACAAATAATAGTACAAAAGGTTTGTAATCTCTTCATAAAAAAGTCGCTTTCTCTCAATTTCAAAGAAAACGCGTAAAAACACACGTAGTTATCCACTAAAAACAAGTATCCTTCCATTTGTAACTTATGTTTGATGTCAAATAAACTTAATTAGGTCTAAACAAGTAAAAAAAAGCATAAAAAAGAACATTACTTTTACCCATGGCGCATGTGTCTGTGGAGCTTGACACGCCAGGCGTGTCATGAAATATTTGTTCGCCGCCACAGCTAAAAGTTGACGAAAATTGGTGCCGCAACGAATCGGTTAATTGTAAGTCAAAGTGCTGATTTACCACATTGTCTACGTTTCCATGTGTCAGAATTAAAGACTGAAGAAGTAAAGTCCTCTTCCTTACCCTAAACCCCTTAAAAATGAGATGAAGCCTGTGCCCAGCAGTGTGAATAATAAAAGCTTTTTTCTTTTTTAAATATTTTAGTTAGGTACTCAAAATAAGATTAAAAAAGCGAAGTAACAGCCTTTGTCATTCTGTTGGGTTCAGCTTGCTCTCATTTCTGACAGGGTTTAGTGCAAGTAAGGCTTAGTGTTTTGATGCTCCAATTAGCATATACTGATTCTATCCTCATGGCTTCGATGCACAAATGGTCCAATTAATTTAATATTCTCAGTTGTTGAAGTTACACAAGGTTTTCCCTTAACATTGAGCATATCATAAATTAGTAAATGGTACAAATTAATAATTTTATCGTAATCATTATCCTATTATTAGGCCTCGCCCTTAGATTGCCTCATAGCAATGTAGTTGCTAAGCTCGGCAGACAGGTTAGCAACTGGTTTCTTATAATTTTATTTTGAATTGTTAACAGGAAGATGCTGCTGCCCATCTCCCATTTCATTTTCCTGTGTCGCCTCTTATGACATCCTTAGGATGATCTGGAATAGTGGATCTTACATGTCCAATAAAGAGTTAAATTTGTTTGTTAAATAGTAGTAATTTTGCAAAAGTATTCATATGGACATCATTAGGTATTAAGTGTTTTGTTGTTTATACGAGATTCGTTCCTTATGACGCAATAATAACACATACAGTGTGTATTAAAAATTTATATAGGCAGCAATAACATTAACAGAATAATCATACGATTATAGAAGTGCAAACATACAACAAAAAGTGAAATCTAATTTAATAGGTAGGTACCCTATTTTTTTTTTTAAATAAGAGTTCAAGTTACATCAGTATGTATGTATATTTTACGATAACCTTGTTATCTCAATTGAATTCTCCCGCCGCTTATTTGACTAACCTTGACAAGTTGAATAACAACACTCAGTGCGTTTGGTTGTCAGATGTTTTTATCAGCCGGTAAAATAATTTGTCTGGATTAAATTTATTGAAAGTGTATTTAAATTACCGTGCTACAATGTTTTCAATTGACGCCCCGGTTGAAATACAAAACTCTGAATATTGTAATTATCGCTCTCCACTAAGCACTCGATATGCTTCCAAAGAAATGCAATATAATTTTAGTGATCAGAAAAAATTCTCAACTTGGCGAAAGCTATGGATATATCTGGCCAAGGCTGAAAAGGTAAGTAGGTAGATATTTAATTGCATGACATTAATTTAAAAGGCACCTACCATTAATTATTTTTGGTAGATTAGGTTATGTTTTATGTTATATTTTTTTTGTAACTGGCTTTACGGCTCTGGGTTCTAGCCCTTCTGAGCCTGAAGTTACTATGTATAATTATCCTTCATAATAATCGGGCATTATAAATATCGCTGTAAATTAATCATATTACTTCGACACCAGCCGTGGGACGTAAAAAGGCTGTAGCTTCACTTTACTTAATTTTTGAATCTTATAAGTGGACTAAGGTAAATCACTTCTTAAAGTAACACTAGCTTAATAGTTACATTAAAAAAATAATCTCCTATTTTGCCACCTTTATGCGAGAAGCGATTTTTAGCTACTGGACTTGAAAGAATAGGTATCAACATCACTGACGACTACATAATCGTTGGCTCGCACTATGCTCAATGACCACAATAGTGTTTCTCAACAGATAGGTCTTAAAGTGAACATAGAAAAAGGTCATGTGTAACGTCCATGTTCCGCCTATGCCGGCATTTTATGAGAGCACTAAGCTCGAAGTTGTAGATGAGTATCGAAAGGTAAATCAACGGATCCAACTCGGCTGGACGTTCCAGTGCGTGACGAAAAGATGTGTCGTAATCTCCGAACGCTGTTCGGGACATCTTTTTGTCATGTAAAACCTCAAAACTTGAAAACAAGAGTGTACATTGTACAACCAGGTCGTGTTGGCACTGATTATGAAGATGCCTTATAAGGAAGCTCAAACTATGGAGAGTGCAACGCTCGGAGTTTCTTAGCGTGATATACTTCGTAATAGGATATCCGCAGTAAAAACAGAGTAACTGACATAGCCCAAAGAATCGTACTTGTGAAGGGCTGTAATGATGATGATGATGAAATATTACCTTTAAAATGTGAACAATTAATTTCAAACAATAACTTCTTGCTACTTGTAGATTTTATAATATTTTTTTAAGTGAAAAGACTTGGGCCTAAGGTTGACTGGCAGATAATGCTTTGACGAGTAGCAATAGGTCCGCCTTTTGTTCCTGTATTATTTGTAAGGTTCAATAAAGGTTATATAAATAAATAAGTAAAATGTTTTGATGGGTTTTATTTCCATGTTTTGTTGTATATTTCTCGACCCCTCGGATTATATGGAACGGTACTAAATATGTCTGTATGATATGTCTGTATGTGTGTATGATAAAAATGCACAGAAAACGTAAAAACGTGTTCCGCTCAGCTCATGTCGCACACTGAACAAACTGTAGTGTGGCTACTTGACGGAAACCTTACCACGGTAATCGTTTTTGATATGCGAAAAAGACCGCCACCATAGCTATTGTCTACCATCATATGGTATATTAGATGACATTGCAAAATTATGGCTATAAATCGTGTCTACACCTAGGTGTTGTTCCAATTATGGCCATAATTCAATAATTATATAGTCACACCACCATGATATGGCAATCCATATCATGGTGGTGTGACTGTAGCGTTCATACTTCACAGAAATTCATAACTCTAAGTGTTTAGGATTGTGATAACTAAGAAATTTAGCGCTTCTCCCGCCCTTATAGGTATTCGTCTTGTTTTTAAATAAAACACACATAAAATTTATATTATTTTAATATAATTATAAGTATAAGGAATACACGTTATACTATGTACACAACCCATATATGTTCAATATTTATAACACTTATTTTAACGTGCGTTATGTGTGCAAATTAAACATAATTTTATTATAATGTCTTTTTCTGTTTAAAGAATGACGCGGGTTCTTTTTATTTTTAAATGATTGCATAAAATAAGGTAACATTAGCGCCGGATTACAATTCTATAATTATATAAGTTTAACTATTGATAACATTAAAGCTACTTTTAGCATAATGGTATAGGTCTGATAATATAGTGTTGATAGATAAGAGTAAGACACGCAGAAAAAAAGAAAAATAGTTTTTTCAACAATAATGTTTCAGGATTATAAAATTTTAAATAGAAATCAATTTAAATAAATGAAATCGAATTGAAATGGAAATACAATAACTTTTCTTCCAATTGCTATCTTTATCTGTGGCTCCGTTGGTGGACTAATGGCGGAAAGTTTTTTTTTCCACCGTCTGCCCAGCGTGTTGAATATGATGAAATCTTCGAATCGATATTCTTTGAAACGCATGCACTTAGCATTAGATTTTAATTTTTAACATATTGAAAAGAGAGTTAAAAATCATTAATATAACTATTTTAGCTAGACTTGCAACGAATAGTATATTCGACCACACGCAGAACACCGTATACTATGCGGGCTTCCTGGCCGAATAAGTCGAAAATTAGGCAAAAGCCTTTGGCCGGAAAGTACTGTTTTTTTTTAATTCAGAGCGTCTATTCTTGGAAGCTGGGAAATGCAGAAAAATTAGTCTTTCTGCACCCATTATCTTACATTTTAATTACGATATTTTCAGTGCATAGACATTTCTCTAATAGTCTTTTTTATGTTTTATAATACTGAAGTTGATTATTTACCTGTGACCACTTTAATGATTATAATAAAAATGCATCAATATTTTTATTTTACCAATCATCTGACAGCAACGGTACGGTAACAATCGGTATTCGACCGAGTAGGGAAAAGTAGCCGAATAGGCCCAATACCTAATAATAGGCCGAAAATTCGTTGCAAGTCTAATTTTAGCGCAATTTTTCGATACATCTTTTACAATAAATATTAATAAATAGCTGTAGTAACTTAATAATTTTTCAAAATAATGATATTTCTTAACCTATTATATATAATACAAAACTAACAATAATATCTTAATGTAGGTAATTAGATCGATAACATTAAATATGTGTATGATGACGTTGCTCGATGATGATAAATATCCTAGCAATGTTTAATTTTTTTGTTAAATACGAAATTAATATAGAGTAAACAGCCCTATTATCTACAATATTATTATTAAACAACAAAAGATAAATTATCATAATAACAAAAAATGGGTACGCGTGCGATTCGGTCTGCCCTCATTATCGATTTAATAAAACTCCAGTATCGATTATAACAATAACGTAATGAAGAGTATTCATTGTGAAATTAAGCGTCGAATAAAAATGTTTTGGAGACTATCATTATTCTTTCTATTCGAGTTATGTTAGACGAAAATTGGAATTGGTCACTAGCGTACAGACGTACGGCTATTCTTCAAAAAGTAACTTGTTATTTTCAAAAACGTTTAGAAACAGCCTCTATAGACTTAGAAACAGAAATATGTTAAAAATTTTTTCAAATATGAGACCAATTCTAATAGAGGAGCAATCAAAACAATAGTAAGGCATCCAATTCTTTGATACTTATCTAGTGATATTATTTGACTGTTTCGAATGATCTTCATTTAGTCTAGTTATATATATTCTTAATAAGTATATTATGTAAATTGAAACTAAACGACAAAATGATTCCTTATTTATAGTCACTATAATACTGCAGAAGTTTGAAAGAAGTAAACTTAACTACCATTGGACGGATACTGATTACTGCTTTGGTTCTCCTTTTAAACATAACATTCTTAAAATTAAACGTTAACTTAAAATCTTATTATAAAAATAAATATAACAAATAAAATAATACTTACGAAAATACTAATAATAATACTTTAAACACTAATGTTATTAAACAGTGAATAAATGAAATAAAAATGATTTATATATGGGATTATAGAGATTTAAGTGGGTATAATGTTAGGAAGATATTTACACAAGACGTCACAAACCAAATGCTTACTAACATAGGTTAATTATTTACGGTGGTCTATTTCGTATCTTTGATTACACCTCTAGAATTTATAATTTTGTCAAATGAATATTGACGGAATGTCTAAGTAATACGATAAATTTACAGCGATATTTATAATGCCCGATTACTATATTCAAGAAACGTATCGATCTCCGTTACAATGTTTTATATTATATATATACGAAATGTATGTAAAAATATGTAATTATATATTATGTTTCTGCTAAAAGCTGAAGTACGGATACATTTACACCTAGGTTTATCTGGCTACAAAAATAAGTGCAGCGATTGCACGTGGTTAAACTTAGGTACGCCACGTATCAAGTAATTTCAGCGGCAGTTAATTAAGGTGCGGCTGGGGTGGCCCTTGGGTCACCTCCAAAGCCGTGAACATTTATTTAATTTACAAATTTTAATCAACTGCAATCGGCCACACCTTGATTGTAGTATCCTAAATTTACTAGTAGTTGCATCTTTTCTTCGGCTTTTAGCAGTATCATGTAATATAACAAATTAATTATTAGGCACCATAAAACTTAAAATGAGCCGTAAGTTGTAAAATAATTTTGCTTTATAAATGGGGTTTTATACACTTGAGGCTGTAAGGGAAAACAAAACGTTTTTTATACATAGAAACCAGCAAAAATGGTTAAAAAGTAAAGTTTTTCTTATGAATATTATATTTTTATGTTAATTTAATTTTATATATTAATATTAACATAGATTATCTGTAATCTTGCAATTTATTTACTATGAATGTGGTTTTTATTAAATCTTATTTTAATATGTAGCATGTTCTTACCGTAACTATATCTGTATGTTAAAAAAATACTTGCACTTCCTCGGCCAAACGATTTTATGCGTTTTTAATACGAAAAAATATATTAATTTAGCTGCTGCATCGGACAAATGACAAACTATTATAATAAAAAAAACATTTTAGCTACGCAAGAGGACAACAGTTTTTTAACGCTATACACAAAACTTACGTTTTATGCTATAATCTAAATTACACTTATACCTACCTATAATTTAATCAAATTTTGAATAATAATTTAAACAAAATTCTCAAATAATTTCATATTACTTTCGGTTAGGTAAAAATGATATATAAATAAAATAACCTGTAACACTATCTTTGATTTCGTACGTAAAGTTAAAAATAATTTATAATTAATAGTCGGCTTCTTTTCTAAAAGTGAAAAAGGCATGAATGAGAAAAATGGCGGCGTTCATAACAGAGAAAACACCAGAAGAGATGAGTAGGTTGTAGGCTTCTTTGTTTGGGCGGAGGTTAGCGTAGTAGGATTTGTGCCAGTCTGTAAATAAATGAGAAAAATTTAAAAATAAATGTACTGTATCTCATATTACAGGGTTAAAAAAATAAAAAAGAATATTTTCTTCTTCTCATTCGTCACTCCTTAAAAGTCCACTGCTGGACGTTGATCTGTCCCGTTGTAGAATAGCAGTTTAAAATAGCTTAATGCTGCTATGTTTTGTATGGTGAGTATGTTGTGCTCATCATTCGGAGATCCTTTTCACTGAAAACGAGTCATTCCATCTTGTCCCCACTGGTGACCGTGGGGTGACTACGCATCTGCGTTTTGATTTTTAATCGAGGTGAAATGTCGATGTCTGTGGGCCACAGCATTTAGTTACCGTCAGGTGGACTGTGTGCTCGTTTGTTATCCTTAGTCTATAAAAAAAGGATTTGCCTTAGTGTCGCCTCGCTTGGCAAGCGGATAGAGAGATGCTACTACACGCCGCCGCGCCGCGCCGCTCTGAATATCTTACGTCTGGTGTAAACGAGCTGGATTGTTCTACCATTATCTATAGTGATTTACTACGCCCGTACGACGAAATGGAGTCATGATATGAAATGAAATATATTTATTTTTTCGACATTAAAAATTAAAACTTTTAATTGTCATTTTTCTTTCAAAACTGATCGAAGAAAAAACGGCGAAAGAAGCTCCGCAGGTATACTATTTTTGTCTTCTTTTTAAACTATATTACAATAACATCCCATCTGGTAGAGCAAGTCAATTGGCAGCCCTTTGTAATTTTTCTTGTTAGAACCGTACGAGTCCATTGGCAAAGAAAATAATGAGGAAAAATAATTGTACACCTACTTGTTTTTCATGCATGGCTTGCATCATACATACATACCTAACGTAATATTTAAACAGTGAATTCCACTCATCCTTATAGTAACCGGTTACCGTATGTTCCTAATACACTTGTGTAATAACTTACCGATATTTTATCGTTATTTACAGCCGGTTCTAATTAGATCAAACTACTTAATATTAATTAAAAAAAAAAACGTAAATTATATAAAACGCTTTAGTTGCTTCTTTTAATTTGTACTCGTATTAATTACGACGTTGCGCTGTAGCGCTGCCGCAAGTCCTAAAAACTTCCTCCAAAGGAAACTGTTTGTAATTAATGCGTAATTCATAAAACTTAGTATATACATATAATTCAATGAGTTTATTTAATGTGTAGAAAAAATTACTTTAAAGTGTCCAGAGTAGACGGCGTTTTAGAATTCAGAGCACCTAGCTACTACGCCGAAGGTCCTTGTTTGAAATCCCCACGGGATGTATTTAAAAAAAAAATACAAAGCATTGGTTACTCGAGACGAGACTCCCTGTCCATCCCCCTTGCCCATCTAACATTGCGCACGTATAGGATACGTCGATCCACAAAATATACAAAAAATGATGAATTAAAATTAATTTTGGCAACCCTGTGGTAACATAATCGGATAGTATTCGCAACACGTGCTTAGTTCGCGCTCAGTTGAGTATATCCATTATAAGCATATTATAAGAATATATCCATTAGTCTTGCGGCTGCCCGACTTGTTATTTGTATAGTAATTGCTAATACGCATATAAAGTATAATTATATAATATGTGGTGGTTACACAGCACCCATTTTTACGTGGTAGAGCCATGCTGAAGCTATATTAGTAGTATAGTTGTAGCACGAATGGGTCGGCGCGACCGGGGATGGACCACGCTCTCACAGAATACCAGCGTGAAATGGCAGCTTCATGCTGCTGTGTTTCGTATGGCGAGTGTAGAGAACCGGAGACACTTTTCATTGGAAACGGGGCATTCCATCTTAGTCCTCAAGTTCACAACTCACAACGCATCTGCATTTTGATTCTTAATCGAGGATAGATATAGACGTCTATGAGCCCCACCATTCATTTACCATCAAGTAGATTGTGTGCTAGTTTGTCACCCTTATTCTATAAAAAAAAACCAATATCTTTGTTGTGTGCTGATAGCGTAAGAGCATCCATCCCTCCTTTTCCTCCCGTGAGTGTCGTAGGAGAGGGCGATAAGACTAAACGCTACTCATATATATCATACAAACTAGGACTGGCGTTTACACACATAAATTGCATCCAAACCCATAAGAATTATTTGTAGTTTACGCAAACACGTGCTCCCCGTAGAGAGTCCACGTAGAACCGAATCAAAATGCATAACCACTGCGGTAATGAACCGTTTGGAATCTAGAAGAACTGTTAGTTAGTATCTTCGTCACTTAAAGTTTAAAAGGCAGCTGCTGTATTCCATTCAAAAGATTTTTTTTTATAGGATAAGGTTCACAAACGAGCACACAGTCCACCTGATGGTAAGTGGTTGCTGCGGCCCATAGACATCTACATCAATCCTCTATTACAAATCAAAATGTAGATGCGTTGTCACCCGTGAGGACTAAGATGGAATGCCTCATTTCCAGTAAAAAGGGCCTCCGGCCACCTGCACTCACCAAGCGAAACGCAGAGGTAAACCTCTACTTCACACTGGTTTTCTGTGAGGTCGTGCTACCACCCCGGTTCGAGCCGGCCCATCCGTGCGACAGCAAAAGCTGCCGCGTGGCTCTACCACTGATGATACAGAATAATGTAGAGCCAATATTTAAAGGCTGTAAAGCATATCATTTTATTCTCATAGGTGACAATACATCTGTAGCATTGTTTATTTGAAGTTCGTTGAATGTGTCCGTGGATTGGAGCAGCTACTTCGTATCAAATGGATCTGTTAAGAAGTTATTCGCTAATGTCAAGTTTCCATGAGACACTTCAACTATCTCTTGAGTAGACCGCGTCGCGTTCTATGGGTAACGCAAAACGGTCATTTTTATGATTTTATCATCGTTGTAACCTCTTTATACTTTATACGAACGTTTTAAGTAAGATCATTGAAATAATGAAAAAATCTTGAAATACTAACCATAGAAAATAACTCCGGCTGCGGCCGTGAACATAATGACGCCGAGAATAGAGAAGCCGATAGATGTCCTCCAGCCGGCGGACTCGCCGAGCAGTCTCGCGATGACCAGCACACCGGTGATAATGATGTAGCCTGAATTGATTGTTTTTTTAATTATTTTTTTGTTAATTTCTAAGTTTCGCCTGTTTTGGTTTAAGTAGAACCTTTAACCCGCTATTAGGCCTAAATGTCGCGAATTGACTTGCAACCTAAATAGTGTTTTATTACCATTTTATTATTTGACTTAGGAATCAAAGTCTTAAACCTCAGGCGGATCAGAAACATAAAAAAAAAATTTTTTTATTCAATATAGATTATAAATAATATTTATTGAAAGTCACAGATCAAGATTTAAACTATCCGAGTTGGCAAATTCGCGTACTAAGGTTGTTATGGGGTCGTTTATTATATCCCTGGATATATGAAGTAAGCAGAAGGGGTAGATATTGCTATTATTATAATTATATATTATATAATAATAATAATAATAGCATTATATTTATATATTATAATAATAGCAATAACATTCATATAAAATAAAATACTGTCATTCTCATCATCTCGCCACACAAAAGAGTGTGATCGAGTTTGTTAAAACTCATACGATTCGGCCCGTTACAAACTGTGTCATTTATAAATATCATATTATGTACCTTTTTCCACTAAGTTTTTGTATCTGGCGGCACGTTTTATGGTCGGAATAACTTTTCTCCAAACGTTTATCCAAATTAGGTTTAGTTGGACAGTTGGACAATCGTGTAGTACCAAAATGAATCAAGCTATTTCTTTAATAGCATATTGTTAGACGGATGAAGGAAGTATCGTTAATTGTCAATAGCCGGTTGCGTTTTACTTACTTTCACGTGCCGAGTTCGACGAAACCGATTTACCGGTAATTGTTGAAGTGAAACCGATTTTTAAATCGCCCTTACGTTAAATGTCAGCGAACTTCATAGTGCGGAAGGTATTTGCACACGAATACCGAAAACTATTCGCCTCCATTTTTATTTTTTGGTTTTCTTCAATTATCTATACAAATAAATAAAATTGAAGTGTCTGTTTGTAATGTTTAAATAACAGCTTTTTACTAAATGCATATGAAAGTATACACGGTACTAATAACAAAAAACAATTTATAAAATTTTTGTCCGTCTGTTTGTTCCGGCTAATTTCCGAAACGGCTGGACTGATTTTGGCGGGACTGTCACTGGCAGATAGCTGATGTTATAAGGAGTAACTTAGGATACTTTTATTTTTGAAAAAGAATTAGGATTCCGCGCAAAAAAAATTAAAACTCTTGTAATCGTAGTAAATTCTTCGCGGGCGAAGTCGCGAGGGACAGCTAGTTAGTACTCATATAATTAATTAATATTTCCATAGAAAAATTTTGATACTTGATATTTGGTAATTGCGTGTTATAATTTCAGTGGTGTCAGCAAGAACCGAATCTGTTATAAAAAAGCTGTAGTTTCTTTGTTCTTTGTCATCACACCTCATTACTAATGCACTGCTGAGTAGGCTTGTCCTATAAATTGCCACAAGGTACGGTCTTGAGCCACTTGCATCCATCGACTACCTGCATGCTTTAGGTTGACAATCAGTCTAATGGACGGTCCGGTTAGTATGAGGCTGCCACTCGAGAACCTTTATTCCGTTTATTCTACTCAATGTTTGATAAATATTTCTATTACAATAAACTATAACGAGATTAGTGCTTTGCAACATTTAATATGGGTATTCGACCGTGACGTGGTCTTGTGACCATAATTGTCTGTGAATTGGACGATTGGAACATAATCTGTTGTGACAATTGGGTCACGGTTTTTCTCAGTTGCGCGAATCCCGAAACAGTGTTGTTAATTGTTTCAGTTTCACAGCATGAAGCCAAAACTTGCTGTGTTTGAGACTCTTTTACTGGCAAGGAAGCGTACTAGTTCCCATTGATGGCGATACATCTTCATTTTGATAATTATCGACGATAGATTTAGGTGTCTATGAGCCACATTATCCATGTATCGTCAGATAGACTGTGTACTCATTTTGATTTCTTATATTTACGCGAACACTACACATTGAATGAAATTACTTTTACGGATTCTATCGCGTTCAATTAACTTGTTTTTTATTGATTCCCGACGTTTCAGGTACTTTACAGCACCCATGGTCACGGGGTCTGCGTAGATCGGACCAAAATTAATAATTAAAAAAGCTGAAGGTATTCCGGGTTAACTCTGATATCGGGACGTCAATCACCTCAGTGTTTTAATATTCAAATTACTTTTGTTATATATTGATAATACGAGTTACGAAATTAGAACCCACGTCTCTGCACAGCCGCATCCTGACGTTTAGCCACGCTACTAAGCAGTAAAATACGACCTAACCATATGTGTAATAAATATTACGCACAATATAGCCTAAGTAAGTATACACGTCTTTTGAAACTATCAATTTTAAATACTTACTAGAATACGCCGAAAATATAAGAGCAATATGACGGTGATCCGACTGCACAACTTGAGGCGAGTACAGAGCGCCCACGATCAGACCAATCGCGATCACGGAGATTATCTGGAAATAAATCATTTTGTTAAATCTATTGATCATTACTCTGTGCCAAAACAGGCTTTTGTGTTGTTATTCAATTAAAAATATTTGAAGTTGTGTAGTGCACGGAAATTGTTAATTGCAACCCAAATTGTACGTAATTGTTGAGTTTTATATATGGTTGGGTAACTAAATCAACTAAATTGTGCTCAAAATTTGCATGTTTTCAAAATTACGTGTAATAAGTAATAAATGTAGGAGGGAATTATATATTTTAACATCGTGGATGAACGTAATAGTATAGAACTCTTTGATGGGGCGGCAGGAGCGGATTAAATTCCGACAGCGCCGTAGGCTAGCGCCTCATCGTCGCCCCTCTGTGCAAATTATAAATTATAACTATTTTATTTTGCAAATAAACCATATTATAATTAATGATATTGTTTATTTGTAAAATAATTTGGTAGACCAACCAGGACACGTGTAGTATACCCTAAACATAAATTATACGAGGTAGAGTCATGCTGCAGCTATATTTTTAAAATGGTTGTAGCACGAATGTGTCAGCTCGACCGGGGTAGGACCACGTTCTCACAAAATACCAACATAAAATAGCATTCTCAATGCTGCTGTGCTTCGTATGGTGAGTGTAGAGAACCGGAGACCCTTTTTACTGGAAAAGAGGCATTCTATCTTAGTCCTCATGGGTGACAACGCATTTGCATTTTGATTCATAGTTGAGGATAGATGTAGATGTCTATGGGCCACAGCAAACACTTATCATCAGGTGGACTGTGTGCTCGTTTGTTACCCTTATCTTTAAAAAAATAGGTGGTGGTGAATAAGAATTTTAGTGAGTGTGATATAGGAGTAATCAAGTACAGGGGACGCGCGGAACCTCTACATCTCTACAGAAAGTAGATACTTACTTATTATTTTTTTGTTTAAGAACTTCAGCGCCCCTTAGTAACCATGCGTCCATAGGCACAGAATAAATAATTGCCTCAAGGATAATTTGCCGCCGGTGGGGCGGGGAGGGGGGGGGGGATTTTCTTCGCTATTAATAACCGACTTCAAAACAGGTGGAGGTGGAGAATTTGACTGTATGTTCTTTCTTTTTAATGCAACGATATCTCCGTGGTTCGTTTACTGATTTAGCCATTGAGTTATATATACTACGTACTAGAGACGCTATTCCAAACAAAAATTGTGCGCTACTCTGTCTTCGCGCATGCGCGGGAGTAGTAGTAATTTATTAATATAAAATAATCTTATTTTAATCTAAACAAACATATTTCTAAATAAAATGTAATAATAATTATGTTATGAAATTCACAAATCTTCAATTTACGCAATATTTAGTTTAGTGTACGGATTGCAGTACAGTTCAGTTGAATATAGTCAATGATCGGAATGCGAAATCTAGTGCGTAGTACATACATATCGATGGATTTAGCCGAATTTTGCAGAATAGATTTATTCTTAAGTTTTTTTTTTTTTATAAATAATTCAATAGGATAGTAGGTAGGTACTCATATCATTTCATACTTTTTTAAACAACGTCAAAAAAATCTCATATTATTCATTCATTACAGCCTATCCTTTGCTGAAAATAAGCCTTCCGATAGATTGCTTTGATTGGTATATTTGCCATAGTTGCCACGTTAGGCAGTCGGGTTGAAAACTGCAATTTTTATTTTCTAGCAAAACGCTGCTACCCGGCTCCCGAAAACTATTCCACCTCAATTTTTTTAAACCCCGACACAAACAGTGAGGTTTTTAAGTTTGACCGCTATATGTATGTCTGTCTGTCTTTGTTTTGGCTGCGGTTTAAAAAAAATTTAAACCAAGTTTTCTGGTGGTGGTTCTTAGACATGTTTTATCGAAATCGGTTCAGCCGTTTGAAGAGCATCAGCTCTTTGTATTTCGGGGGTTTTTTAAATTTCCAATTTAAGTTATTATGTTCTCTTCAAATTGTCCTACTGATGATATAAATGCGTGTTGCCATGGGGCGACTCGGTGCCATATTGTTTAAACCGATTTTTTTTCAATTGCAACGAATTGTTATTTTTAAACGGTAGAATTTTTTTAACATTTTTTGATAAAATACGACGTAAATGACTTTTTACGATAAAGTTAATATTTTCGGAGATATGAATTTTTAAAGGTTTGAAAAATAACAAATTCGGATACTTTTGACCCATTAAAAACACAAAGATATGGGGTAATGGATATTCTTACACCGCCGCTATACGGAAATCATATATCATGCTTTATGTATATTATAATTAATAGAATCAGGCGTTACTTTGCGGAAATCCATTATATAAAAGCTTTTACAAAAATTTACTTCGCAAATATCCGCGTTATAAAATAAAATGATGTGTCTTACCTAGTATCACACACATCATTTTATTTTATAACGCGGATATTTGTAAAAAAATTTTGTAAAAGCTTTTATGTATATTTTAAAATTGAAATATAATTTGATTCACAATGAAGACCGATGAAGTTTTTTTTTTATAGAATTGGGGTGACAAACGAGCACACAGTCCACCTAATGGTAAGTGGTTGCTGTGGCCCATAAACATCTACATCTATCTTCGTTTGCGAATTAAAATGCATATGCGTTGTCAGCCGTGAGGAATAAGATAGAATGCCTCTTATCCAGTAAAATAGATCTCCGGTTCTCTACACTCACCATACGAAACACAGCAGCATTAAGCTGCTATTTTACGCTGGTATTCAAGTTTTTAGACACAAGGAAAATTAACAAGTTTAAGTTAATTTATCTAGTAATTTATTATTGATAGGGTTAAATACTCACTTATACCCTCACAGCTTCACAAAATCATGTAACAACTGATAATTAGTGCGTAGTAACTTTTACAGACAAGATATTTTATAATCCTTATTTATAGGAATTGGAAACTCGTCTAAGATATACTCGTATAAAATATATATATATATATATATATATATATATATATATATATATATATATATATATTGATGATACTATGAGAACATTAGCCCAGCCAACCAATTAAACAAATTATAAGATATTATGAGTAGGTACCCGACGCATTCTCTTAAAGTTTTACCTTTGTAATGAGACATCTGCTGAGGCCACGATTATACCATTCTTTCGATCAATTGAGGGCAAAGTCATGTTATAATAATATAACATGATTATAATCCAGTCGTAATCGTTATATGGCCTACTGTAGCGAATATAGAATAATAAATTTGGTGTGTCGTTATAATATTAGCGCGTGTAAATATGGATACAGTAAAGCGTAAAATTGTGACTAAATTAAGCGTACTTTTTTTTTATGGGATAAGGGTGACAAACGAGCACACAGTCCACCTGATGGTAAGTGGTTGCTGCAGCCCATAGACATCTACATCTATCCTCTATTACAAATCAAAATGTAGATGCGTTGTCACCTGTGAGGACTAAGATGGAATGCCTCATTTCCAGTAAAAAGGGCCTCCGGCCACCTGCACTCACCAAGCGAAACGCAGAGGTAAACCTCTACTTCACGCTGGTTTTCTGTGAGGTCGTGGTACCACCCCGGTTCGAGCTGGCCCATCCGTGCGACAGCATAAGCTGCCGCGTGGCTCTACCACTGTAAACTTCTACTTAATTAAGTCTGCGTAAGTATAACGTTAATTATTATCAACACTTACATTATAAGAGATGTTAGGAAGACGAAAATTATATCGCATTTAACAAAACAGAATATTTAACCATCATTTAACTCGTTCTATAAGTAGATACTGGCAATATTTAACAATAGGAAAAAAAAAACAAATATAATTAACTTTTTTGTTTAGTTACACTGGCCATTGACAATTTGCAAAAAACGCGATACGACTGACTACGTCGCTTTTGAATAGGCAAGGAAATTAAAAAAAAATAGCTTTTCGAATGACCGTATCGAACGGTGTACGTGAGTGATTGACAAGCAATCAACGTTTTAGCGACAAGTGCAGCAAATATTTGAGTGAAAGTCATCATTTTTTGTCAGTTATCAATACGCCGAGCGTCACAAAAGCCAGCAGAGTGAGAAAATGGCGATGTCTAATGAGGGCCTCCACGACCACGACTTTTTAATGCGTGTTGGAAGATCCATGCTGCAGCTAATACGCTATAAATACCAGAGTTAAATAGCAGCTTCTTGCTGCTGTATTTCGTATGGTAAGTGTAGAGATCCGAAAAACTTTTCACTGGAAACGAGACATTCCATCTTAGTATTTAGGGATGAAGACGCATCTGCATTTTGATTCTTAATCGATGAAAGACGTATGTCTATGGATCACATCATACCATCAGGTAGAATTTGTGCTCATTTGTTCTCTTCTTCTTATTCTGTATAAAACCGTCCTTGTGTGTAACGTACACACATGAAAAATGCACGGTTGTGTGCATTATCAAGGTTATATAGTTGTGTATACACATGTCCATTCCCATAGCTTCAATGTTACGCTCTTAATTATAAACTTGATGCAAATCGATGTGATTAGCTTTAGATATTTCAAGAAATATGGGATCCAATTATAAATAGACCTGAATGTAAATGGTGGTGTTAGATTTAGAATTTGTTTTAACGTAACGTTAGATCTGAAATAAAAAAAATATAAAAAACCGTATATGAAAGCTTAGTCATGCTTATACATATAGATGTACACTCTTTTATATAAAAAGTATTGCGTTAGCAAAGATTGTTTCTAATGTTAATTCTATATAATAACTTTAGAAATAACAATAATATTAGATTTTATGCATTAAATGTGTAGTATTTATAAATACTTAAATTTAACATCAAAGGTTAAACAAAAAAAAAACTAACCATTTCAATAATTCTCAACCCCAAACACCAGTTTCGTTTGAGGGCCGCTGCGGCCCGGCTATCCCTCTCATTGTTTGCGCCTTCTTCGCCTTTCTTGGCTTGCGCCTCAGATTCTCTGTCGCCTGCCGACATTGCCCACACCACGCGCGCTCCGCCTCCGTACTCTGACACCTGGAAATCAACAAAATTAATATTCCGTTGTGAGTTCACGCTGGAGCCAAGCGCCCGTCGTATATTGAAAGCCCGCCCGTCTTATTATCATATAAGAGTTAAATGATCAGGATACTATGATATAGCATAGATTATCGTAGTCATCGGTCCTGGATACGAGTGCCAATTTTCAAGGCAATCGGCCGTCTACAAGGTGAAAATTACATTAAAAGATTCCGTTACATAGATAGGTAAAAATATACGCGGAGCTAATAAAAGCGTATTAAGAAGTGGTTTATTGCTAGTCTTGGGTTTAACTTTTTTTTATAGGATAGGGTGACAAACGAGCACACAGTCCACCTGATGGTAAGTGGTTGCTGTGACCCATAGACATCTACATTTATCCTCAATAAAAAATCAAAATGCAGATGCGTCGTCACCCGTGAGGACTAAGATGGAATGCCTCTTTTCCAGTAAAATGGGTGTCCGGTTCTCTTACACTCACCATACGAAACACAACAGTGTCAAGGTATTCTGTGAGAGCGTGGTCCTTCCCCGGTCGAGCCAATCCCTTCGTGCTACAACTATAATACTAATATAGCTGCAGCATGGCTCTACCACGTATAAAGCGATGTAAGAACAATCCTTCTAACTTAAAAAGTCCCTTAGCCGCCGCGGCGCCACTGTCTTCGCGTAATTGGACATTTGTGTCAAACTCCATACTTTACATATAACTTAGATAATTTCCGGGGGATTTCTTTCGTGAAACAGGTTCTAGTTCAATCCTGAGACTAAGTAAAAACTAAGTTTTGTAATAATTCTGAATATGTTCAAAACTGGAGTGTAAGGTGGACCAACGTTGTCTCCAAAAGCCAACATCTACACGCGGCACAAAATATTTTCAGATCTCTTCTCATTAACGAACAAGACTTTGGTGACCAACGATGTGGTAATGGTGGTATATCCATTGCAGAACCAAATTCGCTAAAATATTATTAAGGTAGCTTAATGCTGCTGTGTTTTGTATGGTGAGTGTAGAGAACCGTATACCCTTTTTACTAAAAACGGGGTATTCCATCTTAGTCCTCAGGGGTGACAACCCATCTGTATTTTGATTCTTAATCGAGGATAGATGTAGATATCTCTGAGTACGAGCCACAGCATCCAATTACTATCAGGTGGACTGTGCGCTCGTTCGTCACTCTTATTCTATAAAAAATATAATATGTAAAAAAATACTTTCGAATTAAGTTACTTCAATATGTCACACTACGTATATTGATAGGAGTATATGGTGGGTAACAAGTAGGTTTTGCTTCATTGATTAGTTAAAGTGTACCATAGAAGAACCGGTTTCGTTGTTGCTCGATCTCTTAGCACGTAATTACGTTTCACTACTTCCCACAGATTATAGAGGAAAAACTACTTTTATATATCAAACAGACCGATAAATTGGTGTAACAGTTTTCTTTTTAATTACGTTGTCGTACTGGCACATAAATGTTCATGTCTTAAAAAAGGAGGTGGATCTCGAATCGAGTGTATTTTTTTTAAAGTATTTAAAATACTTTAAAAAAATATACACTAACATAATTTTTTTTTATATATGTTACTCGATAAATTTGTCAATTGTGAACCGATTTTATTGTTGATTTTTTTATTAAATATGTAGATTCCTTCCCCTTCAGGGGTAGGTTCACACCCATGAAAATATGGTAAAAAAAATTCCACCCTACTTGGACTGGACTTAGTCCCTAGTCCACTCAAAAGGGTCACAAAATTAGACTTTAAATGAAACGTAAAAGCAGGCTTTTTAATTTGCAGATATTATATATATATATATATATATATATATATATATATATATATATATATATATATATATATATACATATATTTTTTTATAGCATAAGGGTGACAAACGAGCACAAAGTCCACCTGATGATAAGTGGTTGCTGCGACCCATAGACATCTATGTACATCTATCCTCGATTACGAATCAAAATGCAGATGCGTTGTCAGCCGTGAGGACTAAGATTGAATGCCTCATTTTCAGTAAAAAGGGTCTCCGGTTCTCTACACTCACCATACGACACCAGCAGCGACAAGCTGCTATTTTACGCTGGTATTCTGTGAGAGCGTGGTACTTCGCCGGTCGAGCCGACCCATTCGTACTACAACGATACTACTAATATAGCTGCAGCATGGCTCTACCATGTAATATACAGGGTTATTTTGCATTAACCGACCAAATCAGCAGAGAAGGTTTAGAATAAGTAATATAGACAAATGGTGAAGAAAGATTAATAAAAAAAAATCTCAAACATTCTCTCCTTTTTATCTTTTAAATTCAAAATGCGCGGTAATGCATTAATTCATTTTGCTGCGCACGATAAGAAATCATTATTTATTTATTTGAATTTATGTTTAAAATTTGGCTACTCTGACAAATAACCCTGTATATATAATTATAAAAAATTACTCCGTGCAATTATTTTTATCCACCGTCAGTCACGTGGTACATCAGTGGTAGTACTTGGATCTGCAATTAATAATTTCATTGGCGTCGGCAGGGATCAGACCCGGATTGATATATCTGTAAAATTTACAGCGTGCGCTAGGCCATGAGCTAAAGCTCTTGCAAACGCTAAATTCCAGAATATTTATTTAAAATAATAAACTGGTGTAGTGGAGCACCAGCGAATATTGCTGGCATTGCCCTCACCACCATCACCTTTTTTGTGATGAGTATGAAAATAAATATTATGTTCAAAAGGCTTCATCCAGCAATGACAATAGGTTTAAAATGCTTTTAAGAAATACTCGCGGCGTTAGTGAATCCACTACCCCATATCATCCTACTGGTGTCGTAAGAGGCGACAAAGAGAGATGTGGGCACCAGTACCTATCTGATAATAACTAAATTCTTTTTTTTATTTAGAAAACTTTTACTCCAATCTAGGATTTTCTCCATTATTTTTTCGCAATTATTTGTAGGACATACAAATACTTGTTGCGTGCGGTATTCGAACCCGCGAACCTTAGCGCTGCAACTTATTAGGCTAGGCCATGAAGCCATAAATAAAAAAACTGCGGTTGCAACACGCCTGCCAAGCGGGCATCTATGGCTAAGTGTGATAAATATACTCAGCAGTGGACTTTTGATTGCGAATGCGTGTTGCCAAAATTAAAAACTACACATGTTTTTGAAATTTGTTTTTTTTTAAATTTCTCAACTAACAATTTCATTGTTGCCCGGGGGGATAGAACCCACGCTGTGCCTACATCGTTACCTAATGAAAGTACTGAAAAAAGTTCCAAATAAATACGGAAGCAACCATCTAGCGTAGTATCGTAATATCAGCGACAACACGTTGAAGTAATGCTGGCATGGCACTTAACCGGAAGGACTGGAAAGTCGCATTCATATTATCTATAAATTAGGCATAAAGGCTCTTTCAAAAATCTGTTAGAAATGCGATATCAGTGCAGCTGTGAATTATGATACAATTTTACGATATGATGTATGTTTAGTTGTTAAATCGTCAAACGGACTCTTTTCAATTATTTGTTCAAGTCATGTCATGATAATAGTAGCGTGTAGTGGCGGTGTAAGAATAACCAATACCCCATATCATCCCGTGGGTGTCATAAAAGGTGATAGAGGGAAACAAACCAGGAGATGGGCAGCAGAGTGCTCCTAATAATGACTGAACATAATAAACTGCGGCTACCGACCCGCTAGCCAAGCGTGGCAACTATGGCAAATATCCCCCCTTCGAGGCAATCAATGGTAGAGGCCTATGTTCAGCAGTGGACTTTATTAGGCTGTAGCGAAACGATATATCTGATTAACAGTAAGTTTATTTATTTTTTACTTATTATGCAACTAAGTTAATAATAGTTAGTTGTATAATAAGTACAGAACAACACTTAATATGTGTTGTAAGTACGTAACCGTTGAGATAAAGTTATGCCGATTTTCACTCATATTTTATTAATAAGCTCGAACACAATAATTAAATGCGCAAACCAAATTCGAAACAAATCAAGGTATAGAACGCGTGATTTCAACGAAAGACGGTGGTAGCCCGTTTCGAATAAATCAACAAAGCGCGTGCCAACCGCTCGGACGGAACGCACGCATGTCCACTTTCCAATAAAGCGGATTGTTGTTGGCGTACAAAAACATGCTCCGCCCGCTCTTTTGTTAATTGTACTTAAAATGCCGCTAGGAAGTAATAATATCTACTATAAAATGTTAATTAACAGTTTAATGTTCTTAGGGTAAGCCTTCCACTCTAGAAAGGGTGGTAAAGCACAGTTCAGCTTTACAAAAGAGCTGACGACACTGCGCATGCTTAAATAATATAATTTCTCTCAGACGTACAAGTTTCCACTTGTGAACAACGTAGAAAATTACTTCATGTAATAACGTATTGTAGTGATAGATACCGCCTAGTTAAAAACTGCATGCGCCTGGCTACCTTGTATTTTTGTTATGTTATGTCACATTTACCGTATTACGTACGATCAAGTATTGGTATGAGTACCAACACATACCATTATTGGTTTAATTAAAAAAATTGAATCAGTGTGGCTTTTCTATTGTATTTCAGTAGATTTGATTGAGATGATTTACTATGCTAGACATAATAAAGTGACAAAAACCAAGAAAAATACAAAGCGCTTGCAGTTTTAAATTAGATTATACCTACCAGTGCAGTGTAGAGAACGCCGAGTTCTATAGAGTTGACCTACTACCGCTGTTTGGGTTTTATTTAAAACTACTGATTCGCCCTGGCTTCGCACGGTTGATTTCTCGACAACAACGCAACCTACCGGATCCAATTGTGAATCTAAACCATTCTCTAATCAACTTACTCACACACAAAATTTCATCAAAATCGGTCCAGTCGTTTAGGAGGAATTCAGTCACTTACTGAGTGTAGTTGAACTAACTGAAGATTTATGTAATATATAATATGCATAGATTATATATATATATATATATATATATA